GAATTTCGCCGAGTTGACGGAAGAGCTGAAGGATATCAAACAAAGTATCAAATCCAAGGAAGAGCTTGAAGCCATGGATGAAGAGGATGCACTCGAGGCTGGAGCAAGCAGCAAAGAATTTAACGCAGGTCTACGAATGGCCACGCACGAGGCCATACAAGAACTCATCGACGACCCAGATATTGGTGATGCAAAGGCAGACTTGCAAGAAGTCATTGACAAGATGCCAGAAATGGAGGACATTGACAACCCCGAGTTCCAACAAATATTGCAAAAGGCTATGGCTAAGCTAGAAGGCAACGAGGCTATGAAGAAGAAGATTGCTGCATTGGACGAAGATGTAAATGATGCAGAACTAGAAGAAGAATGGGAGCAGTACCAGAGAAACACCAGTGATGCCATTGTTGAAGCTGAAACGCCAGACGATGACCTTGCCATGCCAACACCAGAAGATATGCAGGATGTGGACAAACTTCTGCATCAGATGCGCGATGTCATGAAGTCACTGGGTGGTGATTCCAACCTCGAGGCCGAACTTGATGCAGCACTTAAGGAAGACCCAACAGGCATACAAGATCAAGAAGGCGTCTTCGAACGCGAAATGGACCCCGAAGAACTAGCCGAAGAACTAAAGAAGCTTGCTCTATCTAAGGCGTCTCAGCCCCCACAGATCGAAGAGGAAGAAGAAGAAGTACCTGCCGAACTACAAGCCAAAGTCGACAAGATTATGGAAGATCCCAAACTTATGGAAAAACTCATGTATATTCAAAAACTCATCTCAGAACATAAGCCGCAACCGGGCGACCTGACGACTCTCGCGCACGAAACAGCGCCAGATCCATACGAGCTCGACGACAGTCGTACTACGACACTCAAGGAGCGCATGGTCATGGCACGTCAGGACCCGGAACACAGCGCTGCTCTCGACCGCCTCTGCGTACACCTTCCGCCCCCATTCAATATCTCGCCTGCCCTCAAGTCCTTCAATCAAGCAATCCAGTTCGCGTACATTGGTGCCAACGACGACATTAGACGTATACTTTGGCGCTCGTACCAGAAAGCACGGTCATTACCAACATTCCTACAGAATATCAGTGATGAAGCGTGGGATATCTTGTACTACTCCCAAGCCGTCACCTGGAGCAGTAATCAAAATCGACAGAATCATCTCAAGGTTCTCCTTGCAGATTTGAATAGTGTTGGCAGAGACGGACCGCCTACACATCCCAGTATGCTTGCAAATGGAGGCGCAGAGTACTAAGCTCTTTTGCGAGAAGTTGTGCTCAAAAAACATTGTACGATAGAACAACGACGAGTAGAATATGATACCCCCTTCCAATCAATCACCATACCATATAACCCCTGCATCACTCACTTCTCCTCTTCAAATCCTCCACCCTAGGCCTCTCATACCAACTCTCATGCTGATAATCCTTCTTGGGGCCCTGTACCTCATACCTGACCATAAACCGCTCAATCCTCACGCCTTTAAACCGAAACTCACACGTATTCCTATACGTGTCGGGATCGCACCAATGGTACCCCTTTGCCATCCACCCACTCTCTTTACTCTCCGGCGCATAAAACTCCCATGCATTAAACAGCGCACCGACGCTCTCGTTATTGTCCTCGGAAACGAACCATGCCGTGATTTTGTCACGCGCCTCCGAGTATCGGTATACGTAGCGCCGGGTTGCGGGGAAGGAGAGACCGGTGTCCATGGTGAAGGTGCCGTTTTCGATGTAGAGGTATTCTGCGGAGTAGAGTGTGGGGTCTGTGGGTTCGCGCGGATGGAAATGCGCGGTGCCCGTGAAGATGCCGCCGGGGGTGTTGGTGCGGGATTCGATTTTGCGGTGGATGGTCCAGATGCCTTGCATGGCTGTGAAGACAGCTGCGGCGACGAAGCGTGCATTTTCGGAGGATGCTTTGATTAGCTCGGCGACTTCTTGGACGACGTCTTTGGCTTGGGGCCCGGTGTTTGCGCCTTGGTAGCGGGAGGGGAATGCGGGACCGGTTTGTTTGCCGTCGAAGGCAGAGTCGTCGCGGGAGAGACCTGCTTCCCGTGCGAATTCTTCGATTAAGCCGACGTAGTCTGACATCCAGAATTGTGGGACTTGGAGAGGCTCTTTCTTCATGGCTTCGCGCATATGCTTTGCAGTGTCTGGCTTGTAGATATCACGGTCTGGGGATTCGAGAAGCTTGGTTGTTTCCTGCTTGGCCCAGGTTTCTGCGAGAAAACGAGCTTGAGTCTCCATTACTCCCCAGTAAGGTCCTTCATAGAATCCAACGAAGCCAAGGGTGGGGAACTTGTTGGCAAATATAGAGCCGCGTGAGAGAACGAACGGTATTCGTGCATTTGGTAATGTATCTTTGTCGCTTAGCAGTTCCCTCACCTGCGGGTCAAGCCAGTCGAGGTCAGTCTTGTATCCCGTAGCTTCGATTATACCAGTCACGTCAGTGAGTTTGCTGGTACCCTAGTAGACATTAGTGATTCTGTAGATTTGTAACGATGAGCAATAACTCACAGCTGCCTCCTTCTCCGGGGTATGATACCATGGCTTGTACTGTTTTAGTTCGATGTCGAAAAGATCGCTGTCCGACTGCTGATTGACCTTATCTACCCAGCCCTGCACTGGCACAATGGTCCCATCTCTTACAAACTCCATATACGTATCTGTGATACCAGTGTACCCAGGATGTTGCATGTGTTCCGGATCGTATGTCAGATTCGGATACCCAAAATCACTCTGGTCGCCTCCTAAACTCGACCTCAAAAAGTCATGACCCTTTTTCGCCTTCTCAGGCGGTACAGTGGCGATGGCTGCTGCTATCTCTCCATCACCACGTCGTGAGAGGTTGTAGAGAATGAGGTCAAGGGGAAGAAACTTGGGCGCTTGATTGAATTTTCCGTCTTGGTCTTGCGGGTCTTGGGGCAGATATCGCTGCAGGCAATAGAAAGGTCGATTGAAAACATGATAGACTGTGCTCGCAGCATGAACAGGCTTTTCTTTACTAGGCGAATGCCTTGCATTTGAAATCTGAAAGGCCGCTTGTGATGCTGCTTCTGAGCCACTAATGCCCCCTCCAATGACAGCAATCTTTCCAGGCCGCCCACTCAGCTCCGATACATTGCGAAAACGAGAAGAGTGTTGGATGGTTGGAAGATTTTTAGATGCTGAGGGGTCGAAGGATTTGCAGGGTTTGCCAAAGAAGCCGCTTGCGATGATGAGCCGGTCGAACGTGACGGTGGTGTGCTTCCCGGATCCGTCGTCACTCGTTACCTTCCAAGTCTGATTGTCTTGTAGGTGTGCATCGACAACACGCGTTCGAAGGATGATATTTTCAATGATTCCAAAAGTCTCTGCGTAAGTTTCAAGGTATTTCCCAGCTTGCCAAGCTTTGGGGAACATGGGTGGTGCATTTGCGCCAGATTGCAGAACCTCAGGATCAACGGAGTTCCACGAAAGATCAGGAAGAGCCACTGTGAATCTGCTGAGGTTTGTTCGCATATCTGGGCTGCATTTATCGCCAAATCCTCCCCGCTCATCCCTCCACATGCCGCCAACCCGCTCGGCTCTCTCATAGACGGTAACAGTATATCCAGCCTGTTTTAATGTCTTCGCAGTGACTAATCCTGCGGGGCCGGCGCCCACAATCAATACTGAGGTTTCTGCAGGAAGTGCCATTGCAGGTGACTCTTTGTGACGTAAAAGATGCGCCCAATGAAGAATAGGACATCAGAAGCACCTCAAAGGTTATATGTGAGATGAGACTGTATTACAAGTGTAAGAAGGTGGAGCAGAGTAAGACGGTGTTGAGGTGCTTGATGCTGGTGTTGCAGGCGCTAAACGAATGCCCCTCGAAGAATTGACCAATGAAAACATAGTTCAACATAGAATACAATGACAGCTGCAGGACCGATTTACGAAATATATCTTATTCAGTGAGTATACCAGAGTTGATAAGAGTATCTCTCATTGCCTGGAATTGCGTTTTGCCATGCTGCGATAGGATTAGTAAACTGGACAGGTGCTGTGATGCCACGAAGAAACGTACGGAGATCAGGTATCGAATGTGGCCCTAGAGAGCGATTAGCTGGGGTAAGTATCAAGTCATGATTGTTTGCATACTAGGTCAGTTACTTGACGATGTTGTTCAAATTCTGATCTTGCAAACTCTCGCATATCCCTCCTTGCCGCTTCATCAGGGATGTTGGCCGTACTCCGAACAATGTCTCGCCACAATGCCAGCACGCGCTGTCGTTGAATGAACTGCGTAGAAGTCAGCCCGTTTCAATTCACTTCTACGAGCATGCAAGTATCACGTACGTGGTCGAGGCTAACAGGACTTTTCCCTCGAGCGCCAAGCCGAGAAAGAGGCTTGGACGCTACCGTCGCATACCTTCGCAGCATGCCCTCGATTTGATTCAACAAATATAATCCGCCTGGACTTGAGGATGCAGAACCACTGACAGGAATGGGTTTTGGTAGGATGAACGAGGCTCTTCACAATGATGCAGACTGACGTAAAGAGATGAACTAGACCGTGATGGCGCTAGATCCGCGACGACGCCGACGTGGGACCGCGGCAGACAACGACTTGCACTCGAGATCGGATGGCGACGCGTAGCTAGGCTTGCAGGCCATAGAATGCCTGGTTGCAGAAAGCGTGATATATATCAAAGTATTCAATATTCCAGGTATAGGAAAGTTGGGTAGCAACAACCTTTCGATTCTTTTGTACGTAGACTTCAAATCAAAATGACGATCTGCCCCGCGACGCGTTCCCCACAACGCGCCCTTCACCCCACCAGCAATACACACGCACAAGGGCCAACCGCGAATCGCTCACCTTTGTTAAATCAGTGCATTTGAATGAAATAGTTGTCTAGGCGGTGAAATCAGGAAATCACCATCCAAGCCACCGACCTTGTCCCATTAGTTCAAGAAAAACCAAGGTCTTCTCCGCCAATTCGCCTTAATAGGCCCTAAATAATCAACATGCCTCACGCCGTCCAACGCACACTTACAGTAAAAAAGCTATTCGAGCAAGACATAGCCGGTCTCAAATCCTACGAGTCACCAAATCAACCATGTCCACTAAAGTTCGATCTCGTAACCTCAGCCACCCAACTCAAAGAAGAAGACCTCCAAGCCTGCCTCGAGCTAATAGAGCAAACATCCGGCGACGATTACCGCGCCTCGAGAATCGGCTGGAACACGCGCAAAAAGCGAGAAGAAATGATGGACAAAGACATGATATACCTTCTCGTCCGGCGAGCCAACCCCGACACAGTGTCTGCACCTGACCCCAAAGACCACCAACAACAGCAAGTCGAGCAAGCCACGCGCTCAGAAAACAGGTCGAGCAGCGACCAAGAAACCGTCAGTTCCAAGAGGCGAAAGCTGGACGTACCATCCCCACAACAGCCCCAACTAGATGACCTCGAACAACTAGCCCAAACCTACACCTTCACCTCCACCCCCTCACCTCCCCCACCACCACCACCACCACCATCAGCATCCCCCAACACCCCCATCCTTGGCTTCACCTCCTTCATGTTCACCTGGGACGACCCACCCCACCAAGACCGCGCCGTCGTCTACATCTACGAGATCCACCTCTCCCCTACCCTGCGCAAGCAGGGTCTGGGCTCACGACTAATGAGCTTCGTGGAAGCCGTCGCGCGCGCCTGCAGTATCGAGAAGACGATGCTAACCGTCTTCGTAGCGAATGCGGGAGCGAAGAAGATGTATGAGAAGTTGGGGTATGAGAGGGATGAGTGTAGTCCTGTTGATCGGGTGATGCGGCGGAAGGTGGTTAGAGCAGAATACGTTATTATGAGTAAGGCTGTCTCTTGAGACATCCATCATCCAAGGAAGTTGATAGTAGGAGGTTGGAAATTGGTATCGTTGTATTTACCATACGAGATATACAGCAGAAAAGAATAAGTGAATGTACACAAATAGTCATCTATAGTAAATCTACGGCCGCGCAAACCCACACGACAAAAGCCGCTTAACTTTCGACACACCCGCGCTCTTCTCCTTCTTTTCTTCTTCTTCTTCCTCGCCAACTACGCGTAGGAAAACTTCATCTAGCGTCGTGGGCGAAACAGAATAATACTCCAACCCCAACACCTCCCTATTCGTCTCCAGCAACTGAATCAACCCGGGTATACCCCCAAGATCCGTCGCCGACCCCACTCTCGTAACATCCCCATCCATCGCCCCCTTACCCCCCTCTTTACCCAAATCCGCAGCCTCCGTCGCCGCACCCTTCAGCACCTTGAACCTCAACTGCCCATGCCCACCCCCTCTAGACCCCCACTTATCAAACTGAACACCGGGGATACTTCGCGCAACCCACTGCTTAACCTGCTCCATTTCCTCTTCGGTAGTTTCAGGCGCGGAATTCAAAACGAGTTGCACAACCCACGCGTCACCGTATTGCTCACCGAGATCCGACACGGTGCCGAGCGCCAGCATCTTGCGCTTCATGATACCCACGCGAGTAGCCAGTTTGTCTGCTTCTTCCATGGAATGCGTAGTGATGAGGAGGGCGCGGCCCGGGGCGGCGACGCCGAGGAGCGTGCGCCACATTACTCGTTTGGCGGCTGCGTCCATGCCGCTTGAAGGTTCGTCGAGGAGGAGGACCGAGGGGTTGCCCATGAGTGCGATTCCCAAGCTTAGTTTGCGCTTGTTACCGCCGGAGAGTTTCGAGGCGAGACGGTCGGCAAAGCGGGTCAGACTGGTTGCTTGGAGGACGGCTTCGACGCTGGCTTTAGGGTCGGGGACGCCGCGGGCGCAGGCGTAGAAGTAGAGGTGTTCTGTAACGGTCATGGTGTCCATGGCATCGAATTGTGGGCAGACTCCGAGGTTGCCTCGGGCGGCGGCGCGTTTCCTGACAATGGAGATGTCTTCGATGAGAACGTCGCCGCCGCCGTTGATGTGAGTTGTAGGGTGGATATCTCCACGGATGAGTGAGATGGTAGAAGATTTTCCAGCACCGTTGGGGCCTAGAAGTGCGAACACTTGACCTTGAGGAATACCGAATGTGATGTCGTTTACAGCGTGATTGGAGCCGAATTGCTTGTGAAGGTGCAGTGCGCGAAGACTGTCTTTGCACTGCTCGGCACGTGCAATCTCCGCTGCGACTGCAGGTGGTACGTTTTCCACGTTCTCTTCGGAATGGTGTTGGCGGCTCTTGTCGCGGTTGAGGAATGGTGGTCGGTACCCAGAATCCCACCAAACCAAAGCAATGAAGAGAACGATGATTTGGACGACGAGATACAAGATCGGGCCGCCGTAGACAGTGATGGCACCGGGGTAACTTGGGATCTTGGTACCATCGCATAGAATACTGAATGAGTTGAGCGAAAGCAGCTGCGTTCTCAACAAACTTGCCGAGGGCGAGATTATCGAGACGGTCCAGTGAAAGTAATCAATGTATGAGTCGATAGCGTAAGCAGGAGCGTAGGTGAGAATCGCCATGTATCCAATGAAATAGATGAGGTAAAGCGAGACCATGCCTCCAGCCGCGAAAGCGAATGCCGCAAGCTGCGAAGTAACGACGATCGAAATAAGGTACGAGAAGAGAATCGCGCATAATCCGTACAGGAAGAAGACGACGAAGAGGTACCCCGGGGCGTAAAATGCACTCGATGCCTAAGTTAGAGTTAGTGTAGGTTACATCTACAGATGCTTGATTGACTTACTGCGACAAAGATGATTGTCGTAATAGCGGAAATTATAAGCACGAATATAAAATCAAAAGCCGTATACGCTAGCCACAAAGGCACGGCACGGATACCATTACTGTAATGCAAAGCTCGAACATTTCTCAACCGTTCTTGAGTAGGGTATAAAGCGAACAAGGCCGGGTAAACACACATGGCAAGGCCGAAGTAAAGGGTAAGTTGGAGAGTATCTCCCATGTTAGGAGCAAACGGGACGGCAAACTGCTGGTACTGCGTCGCAATCGTAATGTTGCTAGCAATATTGTCAAGTGTGTTGAGTGTTATCAGACCGCCAACCACACCTCCGTTAGCGAGGTACGCCATGGTAAGAGGTCCATTTTGATTCACGAAGAATCCACCGGGCGTGATGTTGCGGAAGCGGGTCTGGACAAAGCCGTTGAAATCGTCGAGCGTATCCACAATGTTGAAGTCGTTCTCTCGAATACCAGTCCTTTGTATGATGGTCTCTACCGCGGGACCGACAGTGCTGCGTGGTCCAATTGGAATCAATGGTTTTCGGCGAGCGCTTGAAAGCGAAAAGATTTCTGGATCGTTGGAGGCGGCGCCCGGATCGCATCCGACAGCTTTGTAGCCCTGAAGGAAGAGCGTTACCAAGCCAGCGGCAGCGATAGGAAGAATCAGTGCGAAGACATACGGCCAGAAGTTGCGTTTGACGATAGTGACTCGCTTTTGTATCAAGATCAATACTTGCTGGAAAAGTCCGGTACCGCGGCCTTTGCCCATCTCAAGCCTCTTCTCCGAGTCCGAGATATTATCCAAAGGCGCATCCGTATCCTTTTCAGAATTGGCGGCATGCTCGCCATGCTCAGCATCCATGAGGTTATATTCCTTGACTTCTTCAGCGTTCGCCAGAAACACATCTTCGAGTGTTGGTCCAACGATATCATAATTCTTTACACCGTGATCTCGCAAGACGTCCACGAATCTAGTCGCAGGGAGCGCATCAGCAAACTGGTACTGAACCATGCCTTCGGAAGGCGAAGGCTTCTTGACTGCATCAACAGGTGGTTTGACCGGAGCGCTCTTGGGATAAGTGACATGGTATCCAGCGCCGACCTCATGTTTGAGCTGGACAGATGTGCCCATGGTCTTGAGTACACCGCGGGAAAGAATAGCGACGTAATCCGCAAGAACATCGGCTTCGTCGAGGAAATGGGTAGTGAGTAAGAAAGTGCGATCGCCACGCTCAGCAAGCAAGATTTCCCAGATCTTTCGTCGAGATAGGGGGTCCAAACCAGAAGAGACTTCGTCAACGCAGCAGACCTTGGAGCCACCGGTGAACATCATTGCGAGTTGAAGCTTGCGCTTTTGACCGCCAGAAAGTGTGCTTGATTGCGCCTTCATCTTATGACCTAGATCGCAAGCGCGGATGAGATCTTCAATCTTTTCCTTCGAGTCAAACTCGCCAGTAGACTTGAGCTGGTTGAACAAGCGGACGTGCTCGTAAACATTGAGTTCATCCCACATGACGTTCTTCTGGGGACAGAGACCAAGTCCACCAGTACCGTCAATCTCAATAGCGCCGCTAGTGATGGAGTTGAGACCAGCAATGGCGTCGAGTGTAGTAGACTTTCCACTACCGTTTGCACCGAGCAACACCATAATCTGGCCCTTGCGTGCCTTCATACTGAAGTTGTCTACAGCGATAACCGTCTCTGGGGGCTTTATTCCGAACTTGGACAATACATTCCTGCGGAACCAGCTAGGAGTCCAGTGTTTGGAGAAGTTTGTAAGGATAATGTTGTGATCTGGCGACGAAGTTGTAGTTTTTCTGTCAGCTGACACGGTGCCGTAGAGCCATCGTTCGACAAGAGCACCAAGAAACGGGTACACAAAAGTGTGGATGATGGCAAAAACCCAAAAGACAATACCGGGAGTCGTCCACACGTGATCCTCGTATACAGGTGAAGCTTCAACCATGTTCATAGCGACGAGTTGTCTTTCAAACCGCGCCACACAAATGGTGAAGAAGACATAGTTGATGGACGGAAAGATCAAACTGAGCACATAAACGGCGGATGTGCTGAACGGACCAGCGACCTGTGCAATGATGGCCAACAGGATGGGAATAATGACAATCGTGATACCAGATAGCTGTGCCTTTCTGAAAAATGCCGCGCCAAAGATTGAGAAGCTCGTTAGGGACAGTCCAGCCAGAACATGGAAGATGATCAAGATGACAGGGTTAGAAGATGAAAAGGCCAGAGCCCAAACTATCGCTCCCATAATGACCCATCCAGGGAAGTAGATGATGTCAAAAGCGATGTGCATGGATAGGAGGCGCGCAAACTGTGTATGCCACGCTTTCTTCGCAGGAGACATTGCTTCCACAAGCTGCGAGATGCCGCGTTCTCGCTCTTCGGCCATTTGTCCAGTAAGCTGGTACGTCACACCGCAGATGCCAATGTACAAGGCTGCGCCCATGATGTTAATAAGGGCGCCCATGAAGAGTGTTCGAATTCGATCGTCGTACTCCTTCTGGGTCTTGTCGGTATAAGGATACTCGTTGGTCTCCGGAATTGATCTCGATCCGTCCACAGAAGCGATGGCTTGGTCAATGGCGCGCTGGAAGGGAAGAATGTATATCTGTACATCATTGTCTTTCTGGTCCACGTAGATGTTCTCTCCAAGAGCGCCGTCTGATCGAAGTGTGTAGTTCCAGGCCGGTCCTCGTCCCTCATTAGGACTGGAGTAGAACGAGGCAGCGCCAAAGCAAGTACTGGCGCCGCGCAGTGAGCTCGCACATGTTGTGAGAAGCTCCACTTCTGATCCTATCGTAATAGCCTGTAGCCCTGCGTCGCGCACTGTTGTAGATAGTTGGTCGATGACCTGATCAATCTGACCACCAGTGTTGCCATTATTTACAAAGATAACCTTGTCACGGCCGCCTTGAGCAGCAGCGAGAGCGTCGGGAAAGGATCGAATAGGGGACGGGTTGCCGATGCCGAACTCGGAGGGTGGTACGAAGAAGTTCTTAGCATATGTAATGAAGAACATCTATGTACGTCATGGTTAGCCAGTGGCGTGCTGTAAAGGACCTGAAGACATACAAAAATGATGGGAGCCCAGAATGCGCGCACACTCGTGAAGAACCACTGGCGCACAAAGACGACGACGAGCGTCTTCTTCGTGAGGATCCATGTCTGACTTGCGATTGCGCCAGCCATGATGGCTGTATGTGCCCGCTATGGGTGCGCTGGTGGTGTAGAGGTTGTGCCTAGCCGCCAATCGTCGCTATCGTCGTCGCCTTAATGTTTGGGTGTTTACTCTTTAATTATTCGAGGGGCCGAAAGCATCGCTCCTTGCGCTTTAGAAACAAGCAAAAAAGGGTATCAAACAGAAAGCGGAAGGAAACGACTCAAGCAGGATGAAAGAGACATGTCATTAGCTAGTGGAGGCAAACTCGTTGGCCAACATTTCCACGTCGTACTCAGCGTATATGGCACGACGCCGAGCAGAAGAGGTCTTGTCGAACGCCCTGAAAACGCACCATCCCTGTTGAAGTGCGCGCGTTATGATCCCCATCGGTGTTGGCGTGCCGGCGGGGTGCCAAAGGCGCGCATGGAAAAAGTGGACTGCTCTTTGGCCCGAGCTATGCTCTTCTTTCTCAACTCCGTGGCGACCAAAACGTTTCTCCGTCGCATAATCTACCCGATTCTGCTGCTACTTCGACATGTAGAGATCGTAAATGTCGTGCCCATGGCGGTGAGGCACATACAGCGAAAGTACTTTTTTCCAGTGCTTATTACCGTAGCAAAAGTGCCTCGGCGGCAGAGACAGCCATTACATCCGCCCAGACCACGCCCAGTCGCCGAGTCTTGCTGGTGACCAGCGAGCCGCTACTCGGTGCTCAAGAATCGCGATGGCCGATGGAGACGACAAGACCTCGCGTAGAGCCCCCTGGCGCGGCTGTGCCCTTTGCTCTTAATCACATGCGCGTCATCGATTTTCGAGCCACACAACGGCCTACCGTGATTCGGTCCTGTAAGACGGATTAGAAGGGCCGACGCGAGCTGGTAAGAATTGAACAGGGCAATCGCGCAAGCTTCGCAAGCGTTACCAGTGCCCTGGGATACTTTCGTCTACGTAGACAGCATGTGTAAAAAGGAGGGTTTGGAGGGGTCAGAACGTTAAAGTTAGTATTTGAGGCAACGTTCTGTTGCGCAACTCAATGCGGCAAGTCTTGGCGACAGTCACGTGCATTCTCAGTACAGCCAATTGCATACTAACTTCATAAAATCATGTCCATGAGAGATTGATTGTATGATTGGAGTCTCTACAGTCGAATAGATACTCCTCAATTGGAACCTAGAGTAGGAAATACTGCGCATTCCGGCCCTATAAGCTCGCAGTCCCATACCCATACCGAGTCCATATTCCTAGCTAACTGCCATACACCTAATGGCACCCAGAACCCCAGGTATTCAGTTACCCAGGTACCCATTGGCTCACTCCCCACCAGTCTTAGTCTTCGGTTTAAACCCAGCCGCAGCCTTCAACTTCTCCAGAGTCTCCCGCGTCTTCTCGTCAACCGCATTGGGCAGGTGCACAAGCTTACAGCAGTTATCCTATCATACACTCCATTAGTCACCTTTTCTCCCTCTTCCTCAAGCAACAAGAGATGTTGATGAACTTACATAAGCCCGAACCTTGATGTTATACTGATTACTCAACATGCAATACTCGATCCACCGACAAGACTGCAAATCATCAAACTGCTTCTTGCACTTGGGGCTGCAAGCGCCATCGCGCGTCTCGAGCGTGAGACGGTTGTTGGCGAGGGCTGCACTCTGCGTGGTGGAACTCATTTCTGCAGGGAGTGCGGTGGTGAAGCCGAAGAGGAGGAGGAGAAAGAAGAAGTGGAGGATGTTGGAGAAATGCATAGTGGACAATGTTTTGAAAGTGTGGTGTTAATTGAGAAAAGCGTATGTTGGTAGAAGTAGAAGTAGAGGGAGCGGAATGGCGGAGGGAGGTTGTATAGTAAGTTGTTTGCTACGAAAGCAAACAGTGAGCCAGGTAGTGAATGAAGCCGTCATAATATCAACATAGACAAACGAGCAAAGTGAATCACTTACGTCTATCCACCTTCACTTCTCTCCTCCCTAGATCACCTTCTTATATCCCAGTCGTCACACCAGCAAAGACAGACACCCATGACATCTCAAACATTTTCAATATTTACTGTTTAAAACCCCAGAGTATCCAGACTCATCTCATACATGCTACATACAGCTTTACCGCTCCAAACTCCTCCTCGGCGTATTCGTAGCAGGCAACTCACTAATCGCAACACCAATCCCATCCAGCTCCACCGGTCCTGTAAGCCCTTCTCTCTGTCCCGGCACAGGCTCTCGTACGCAGAGACTATTCGCGTCTTCATCATCGCGCTCTAGCAGGATACTGAGCACGTGTCCGCGCTTCTTCATCACCATGCCGTACCCGATGTTCGAGACAGTGGTTTCTTGCATGCCGGCGGGGTACGAGGGCGACATGGGACTGATGGGATAGGGATTGTTTGCGTCTGTAGACCAAGCACCTGTGTCCTGGCTTCCGCGTGGGACGGCTTCGTTAGTCGGTGGTAATGGTTGGGTGGTATTTGCGGTTTTTGCGGCTGCCACTTGGCGCTTTAGGCGGCGGATGTACCAGATGAGGATTATGCCAGCGATGATGGGAAGGATCGAGACGCTGATGCCTATTCCTGCTTTTGCACCTGGGGAAAGCGTGGATGAATCCGATCCAGGTAATGCGGGTACTGCTGTTCCTGTCGGTGAAGGCGTCTCGCTGGCTGGTTGTGATGAAGAACGTGGCGGGTTTACAGAAGTCACAGTCGGTGTACTAGCCGGTGACGTAGACTGAATCGCATTCGAGGTTTGTGATACTGTCGCAGTATTTGTCGACGACCCAGTCGGCACTGCAGCCTCTTGACCATTAGAAGGCGTACGCGACGCCGTGCTCGCACTCGTACTCGAGCTTGCGATCGATGACCCTCCATCATCAGCCATAACACTCCTGCACCATCCCTGAACCTTCGCATCTGCGTCATCTCGTTGCACGCTTCCACACCCTTGCGCAATACACGCCGAAGAAGCCTGCATCAACTTCCCGCCCTGACAATGGCACGTAAAGTCCGCCTCACCCGCACACCCATCTTGTACCAGTTCCGTAATCAAGCATCGCAGCGCACATCCTGGCAGCTGCAGCCCAGCAATAGGAGACGCCTGGCGCGGGTATATGGCATGCGGTATTGCTCCGACAAAGTGTTGTATGAGGGTACTGGCGACGAGAACGGAGATGCTGAGACGGTGCAGTGTCGAAAGCGGAGTCATAGGTATCCGCATATTAGTACTCGCCGATATACACGTTCTCAGGCTCCGTTCCTCCCAAACCGGTCGATAAATGATAAGACCGAGTCGTACTGGCCTTGATTTGGCGGCAAGAATTTGGAAATAAAGAAGAAATAATAATGGAGCGTTTACTCCTGGGCCCTCAGTTCGGCCGTCCGCGAACCTAGCATTCCGCTGCTTTATCTTGTTTCCCCCCTTTTTTAAACCCTTTCACATAGGAGCAAGAATCCAGTCTTGACTTTCCCGTCGCTTGCAATAAAGAAAAACAAAAAAAAAGTGGTGTGGAGAGAGCAGATGCAGAGGTTGAGACAACAACAGGCGGAACCCCAACCAAGGTAATGTGGCCTTGCCCGCACACACCCAACCCTTCCCAGGTTCTCGATCCAAACGCAGTAACAGACCTTTTTGAAAAAGAGCGAGTACAGGGATGCGCCAAAGTCAATTTTATGCACTGGCTTGGCTAATGACGTGAGGAAGGGGATCTTTGAAATACTGAGACGTGCAATGTTTCTCTTCTGTGGAGTCCGGGTCACTGGGTCACTTGGAGCCTAGCATTCGACAACGACACCGAGGGGAACTAGACTGAGGGTTGTTCGGATATAGTTTGCGGGTTGCGCACGTTGATGTTCGTGCTAATTGTACTTGTATGTGTTATATAGCGTATGTTATAGATGAAAAGGTTGAAGTGTGAGGCCCAAACATGAACTATGGTGAAACCTCCTCTTACGAAAATATAGAAATAGTGTATATCCTTCCCACCTAACTCCATGTATTCTATTTGAACTGCCGTGATTGCATCAAGTCGTCTAAATATCTTACCCTCGAACTTGTCGCGTACGGGCATTCATATGTACGGAAATTACGCGCAGTAGTTCTAACAAGAAAGCCATCATGTGATGATTCATGTACAAAGGGTTTCACATCTGATCACTCAATCTCGCGGCGAAAATGTCTACACTGAGCAAGCAACAGCGCCTGGAGCAAGGTCGACCGGTCCTGCTCCAGATGCAGTAATGTTCTTGGCATCAGGGTGCCGAAAATACGGTTCCTCATCTTTATCCGGGATTGGTCCGGGGGTAAGCATGTCCTCCGGTTCTTCGTCGTAAGCATCCAGAGAAGCGCGACCACTGAAATCTTCCTGTGTCCGGAACTCGTTGACAAGGCTGGCCAAATCCCAATCTAAGCTGGTGTAGCTGTTGATGCTATAGCGGTCTGTATGCGCGTCGATCCAATCCGAGCCACTGCCGACTTCGTCAATGTCTTCGTCTGCGTCTTCCTCGTCCCAGAGATCCTGCTCCACGCCGCTCAGGAACTCCCAAATGGTTGCTAGTAGTGCCTCACGTGGTAAGAAGTAGTTGAGCGTTTCGTTGTCTTGGCCTGTCCAATCTCCCCAGGCTTCGAGGATTTCTAGACGAGGGAACTGAGCTGCAAGTGGATGTGCCCAGGATTGAACGAGGCTCTGCTCTACGAGGGGATCCACTACGGAACCTATCTGAGAACTGGATGATGATATGTATGTATCACTCGCGATTGACAGAATGGACTGAGGTCGTGCGAAAGCAAGTTGCCTGAGGTTCTGAAAAAGAGGCGTGTTACTTGTATGGGACAAAGTAAGACTTTCCATGTCAAGCAAACATTCGCTTTCATGAAGGTCGACGGTCACAGAGGGGGTCCTGAGCTCAACCCTCTTGTCCATCGAGTTCCGAGAGACCTCGTCAGTAGGCTGCAGTGGTGAAACATCCTTGGCTATTTGCAGATCTGGCAGGTGGCAAGAGATTCTCAGTCGCAAAGTTTCAAGCAGCTGACAGTTCTTCCCTAGGCTTCCGAGTGCGGTGAACTCCAGGTCAATCGCCGTTTGTGGATGAAACTTCAACTCAAGATTCACAAGTCCCGGTAGGCCTCTGCAGAATGTTTCAAATTGAAGACTGGAGATGGCTGATCCATTGATACCCCCTGGGCCTGCGGTGGATAAACTGATGTCTTCCAATTTTGGACAGCCCGCGGCGAGCTTTATTAGTGCGACCCCAGAGAGTGCTGGGCATGATGTAGCCGAGGGAAAGTCAACCGCAAGCTGACCAATGTTGATTTTTAATGATTGGAGTTGTTTACATTGTGCCAGCACTACGATGATACGGCTTAAAATGTCCGCGTCGTCCTCTTGTTGCACTTGATCAGGAATGCGTGCAATGTCCAATTGCAACTCTTCGATGAGTTGCAGCTGAGGTAGTAAGGCAAGAGCGATTTCTGGGTAGCACATGATGTGCAAACGCCGCAGAGAGAGGAATGGGGAAGGAAGAGCATCCGGGCCTGAGAAGTAAGGTAGTAACTGCAAGCCGGGATCGAGATCGATTTGTAGTGCTTCAAGACCAAGTCGTTGACTGAGGGTTTTGAAGATGATGTCCTTTCCTGAGAAACCGGCGTTCATTATGCGAACGTCTGAGATGCTTGGCGTAGAAGCAAGTAAATCCAGTAGCACCTGATGGTGTAGTGGGTCCGCGAGATCGACTACATCTTGGCCAATGTGTATGCTGACCAGATTTGGTTTGAACAACGCCGGTAGGATGCTGCGAGCAATATATTCCGAGCCACTGCTCTGTGGACCCAGGAATTCCAAATGATGGAGCCCTGCGTGAAGCATGGAGCTAATTGCTTTTTCATGTTTACACCAGTCCACTTCCAACTCTAGCGTCTTGAGGTTTGGCCAGTTCAAGTCGTGCAAGTAGTCAAAGTTTGTTTCGTCGTCGGGTGGGCCTAGGACGAACAGGCGTTCTACTTTGTCTGCATACCATTGGCGTCGAGTGGGTGCCATGTCGTCCAAGGCCAGGAGGTGGGGATAGCGCTTCCAGAGAATGGACGTGCCCTCGTCAGCCCACAGCTTGTTGACGAGAATCGAGGGCACGAGGGTAGGGCGGAATTCGAGGAATTCGACTGGCTGGTCAGATCCGCGTTGTCGGCAATCCTTGTATTTCATGTCGGAGAGGTGACGTAAGATGAGGTGAAGAATGCGTGAATCTGCCAGGGCCTTGGCCATGGCTGCCATGACTGCCATGACTGCGAGTACTGCAGATGGAAGGAGAGGCGACGAATCCAACAGGAGAAGAAGTGGAAGGGCTCAAGCAAGGAGAAGGGGAAAGGGTGGGATAATATCCGCTTGTTGCGACAAAAGTGTTGGGCAATCAGTCATGCTGCTCTGGACCTTGTCGCCTACCTGGCGACCGGGCAAAACGAAAGCCCGGCCCGCATCGGATCGCCAGGGGCCGCCAAAGTATCAGAGCCTCTCCCATTGCGGAGGGTCTCTGGTGCGGGTCGTCATGCAGCCAAGTCATGCCATGGGAACGTGTCGTCTCTGACACTGCCAGGGGATGAGGTTCGTGCTACGGCGTTTCTCAGGCACAGGGTGCAGCGCTGGCGGTGTCGTAGTGTGTAAGTAGTGAGGCACCGCCAGCTTAGTCAACCAACGCGCCGGACCATTTTCGGCCCCGTTTTCTGTCGCATTCAACTCAACCAACATCAGGCAGCCCGCAGACACTTACTTGCAGTCGGACATAGCACTATGTCCATGTGGATTTCTCTCGCTTCAAGCCTCATATCCACTTATCCACCGGCGATATGCTCCCTTTGTCCGGACTAGCAAAGCCCCATGGATGGTGCCGACTGCCCTTCTGTCTGGTTATATATGTACATGGACGGCCGCCGCTCGACTACTTACCCAAGACCGTAGCCAGCAAACCCCCGGGACAGCCATGCATCTCATACTCACTGGCGCGACCGGCCTTATCGGCGCGTCTGTCCTCCACAACATGCTTGCGCAAGAAAGCATCAGCCGCATATCCATCCTCAGCAGACGGCCAGTCAAGATGGCAGAGGGCCACGCCAAGGCCAAGGTCATCGTCCACAACGACTTCAACAAGTACGATGAGGCGCTTTTGCGTGAGCTGAAAGACGCGCACGGCTGCGTATGGGCACAGGGAGTGTCCCAGAACGCCGTTAGCAAAGAGTAAGTATGGACAACACATAGTACATGGTTGGGCAATGCACAGACACAGGCCTACTTATTATGTACATACATGCGTATTCACACCCATTGCAGCCAGTATCACCAAGTCACCTACGACTACCCTCTTGCGGCTGCCCACGCCTTTTCCACTCTCCACCCGGACTCGCCATTTACGTTTGTCCATGTGTCGGCGGAAGGTGCCACGCAATCTCCGGGCATCTTTACCGCGCTGTACGCGAGGGTCAAGGGGCAGGCCGAGTCTGCGCTACTTGATTTTGGCAAAAAGAATGCCATGTTCAAGGTATACAATGTGCGGCCATGTGGGGTGGACTGGTCGGCCCACCCCGAGATCCACCCATTCATACCCAAGCAAGAAATGTACAAGAAGGTGATCCTTCCGGGGCTGAATCTGGTGTGGAAGAATCTGGTCACGCCAACCAGGGAGATGGGCAAAGTCATGACCGAGCTGGCCATGTCTAGGGGCGAGCCGCTGGAGGGTCCGGATGTGGGAATGGAAGGCCGGCTGCTATCCAACATTGCTCTCCGGCGGATAGGTGGATTGTGATACCTGTTGGAAATGGGGCGGAATTATGTTTTCTTCTTTGTGGGACCGAAACCCCCAGTACTTCCATTTTGTCCACCCCAGCTCGTCCCTTTTCTGTCAGAGTGCATTTCGTCATGCGTGTTTGCTTTGTTGCTTTTGCGAGACGCCACCTGCTGCATAGCAAGTTGCAGGGCTGGCGTGCTCCGAGTGTTTGCACCCGGGCAAAACTTTCCATCGCGTGTTGCGACAAACAAAGGCAAGAAAACACAGCACAGGAAACATGTAACCACGGCGATTGACATGGTGCTTTTTCCCGTATTAGTGCCATGTGGAGCAGAGGCACGTGAAATCGTTATCGGGCGCGGGACATGACGGCATCGAGACCCTGGTTTGGTGGTGGGGTCGCGTGTCCGACGCACTAGAAACGCGTCGTCCCGTCTTCGTCCCCAGGTCCCATTCCCCAACCCCCATCACGCTAAGCAAGAGAAAAAGGGCTCGACACGTCGACGTTGGGAAACAAAGAAGAAGAAAACTCCTGCCACGTGTGCCAGTACCTTGAGTGCTGTTGTGCTTTCAACCCACCATGGACGGCGACGCCATTCCTCCGTCATCACCTCCGCACTTGGGCAGCATCAGCCCTCAGAGCCCGCCCTTCTTCGAGCCCCATCACAACGCTTTCACCTCAAAGTCGAGCTCGCCCCCTCCCCTGTTTTCCAGCGACGACTCGCGCGAATCCGTCGACGTGACAAACTATGAATCCCCGCGCATCCACAAGAACAAACGCAAAGGTGCGTGGTGGGACAATCGCGAGTCTGCCCACAACAGCCCAGAGGTTAAGAAGCCAAAATTCTCCCGCAACCTCGATCGCAACTTTGATTCCGGCGTCTACATGCTGAGCGACGCGACTGACAGCTCGGATGATCTGCTTCCCCAGCACAAGTCGCCATTTCCAGACGAGATGGAATACGCAGACGACCACGCCATCGACATGAATGTCAGCCATACTCAAGCCATGCAAGTGGACACGTCAAGCTGCCCCGCACTTCCCGCGACCCCCGCTATCCGCAAGGTTACCATGAGTGCTGCCGAGCGTGCCTTCAACCGGCAGCTCGACGAGGGTCTAGACAGCGACCGGGAGACATATGATTTCGAGGGCCAGGGCCTCTACGACAGCGACATCACACGTATTGGCGAGCTCAGATTCGTCATCAAGGACCCGCTCGTCAACGACAGCGAGGCTCCAGCCGAAGGCCAGTTTCGGTCCTTTGAGCCCGAGATCCACCTTAACCTTAACAAGAACCGACTTCGACGCCTTATTCCCTCGCTCTTCAGCATCACCTGCCTCAACAGCCTTGCTCTACGTGAGAACGAGATCGAAGAGCTACCACAAGATATTCGTCGATTGAGAAGGTTGGAAGAGCTATACGTGTCCCAAAACAAGCTCAAGTGCCTGCCTTTCGATGTAGTCAACCTCCTCTGGCCGTACGGCAACCTATGCCGTCTCACCACCATGGGAAGCGACCTGCTAGAGCCCATGACGTCCAAACGCTTTCACACTCGCGTACCTGGGGAGGAACTCTACACCCACCATCTCGAGAAAGGCTTCTATGACCTCGACAGTCTACGCCAGCACGCACGCAGTCAACTAGTCCACCTCTACGAGTCACTTCCAACATGCAGAGACCGTGACTCAACAGTCTGGCGCATCCGCTACTTTGAATCATGGGCCACATGCTTCAGCAGCGGACCCGACAGTAACCAAGACACTGGCTTCTACCCGCACCACCCCTCCCTCCACGTCCGCGAAGTAGACTCAGACTTCCAACTCGTCTACCTCCCCCGCTACATTGCCCGAACCCTAGTATCCTACTACGACCAAACCGGCTCTCTCCTCCGCAACTCTCCCTCCCTCCCAGCCTCCGACTACGAAAAATACCCTGTCATCGTAGAGACCTCGCGCGGAACCTACGGCGTACCCTCCTCTCCTTGGTTTGCTCCGCCCGAACACTCAAAAGTCCCATCGCTCCTGACAGCCACCTTGACGCGCTCGCTGCAAACAGATTCCACCACCGACCTCCGCAAGATGATTAGTAATAATGGCGAATACGAAATCCCGCGTGCGGCGGAGAAGATACTTGCGCAGGCCGATAGGACGGCCGAAGGGGGCTACAGTGTCTTTCGCGAGTGCCATGCGTGTCGCAAGCAGTACGTTGTGCCACGTGCCGAGTGGATTGAGTTTTGGAGCAATGGAAATGGATACTTTCATCCGTTTAAAGTTAGCGTTTGCTCGTGGGGCTGTGTGCCGCGGCAAATGATGCAGCGGCCTGAGAAAGAGTTGACGTGGTGAATGCAGCTTATGATGAAGAACATTGGGTTTTTTTTTACTTACTAGCATTGGCGTTTTATGGAGATTTCTGAGCGCAAATATTGTACATATGGGAGATTTGGAACAACGCCCGGGCTTATGCCAGGATGCCGTGTACGAATACACCAAAAGTTTTATTTTTCTTCTTCTTCTTCTTCTTCTTTTGAGTTTGCATATTTTCTACATTGAAAGTATTTGCTTTCTCTTTGCCAACATATACATGAACCCTCTCTTTTACTGCCAAATGAGGGTAATCTTCTTCCACCACGGGCCCTTGATAGTCCGCGCCGGCCTCTCCTCAGCAAGCACCTGTTCCAACCCTGTATGCAAATCCACCGTGAGCGGATCATACGCCCAGCCATCTTTCCTCGCCCAGATACGGTGGCCGCCGTAGAAGACGAAAAACATGGGAATACCGACGTACGCGGTGAAGAAGGAGCTAACGTTCCATTTCTCGGGCCAGAAGACGTCGAAGCCGTTGATGAGGCAGAGGAACGTGAATGCGACAATGACAGTCCATGCGCCCCACTTGCCGACGGGAGAGCGATACGGCAGATCCGTGATGCCTTGGGCGTCGCATGCCTTGCGGAAGCGCAGGAAGATGATACCACAGCAGATCCACGAGATGAAACCTGAGGTATTTGTCAGGTTGACAAACCAAGTGAAGACCACTGCGGACGAGGAGCCGACGTTGAGATAGGCCAGGGCGCAGAAGAGCGAAGATGCGGCTACGGCGTAGTACGGCACACCAGACTTTGTGCACGATTTGAAGATTGACGGCGCATTTCCTGAGAGCGCGAGGCCGTACAAGCTGCGGCTGGATAGGAACAAGAACGAGTTTCCGGACGACCAGGCGCTGATGATGATACCGGCATTGATGATGCTGTCAAGGACGGGTATGCCTGCTCTTTTGATACCAGCCACGAAAGGTGAGGAGCCGGCGCCGGCACCACCAGAGGTTATGGATGGGTCATTAGATGGGCAAATAACGCCAATGGCGAGGACACCGAAGATGTAGAAGATGACGAGACGGTAGATGTAGCGGCGAGCGGCGGTGGGGAGGTTGCGGCGGGGAGATTGCATTTCGCCGCCGGTAGCGACGAGCAGTTCGGGGGCGAAGGAGAAGGGGAACTATTTTCGCGGTTAGCAAAATTAAAGACATTGGCGGTGGAATGTAGAGGAATGACATACGGCTGAGAGAACCAAGGTGGACAATAAAGCGACGAAGCGACCCGTATTGCCTGATTCAAGATACGTATTCGCTGCGCCAGGATCTTTCCAATATCGGAATCCAAGACGGTCGTGGTGTGGGCCGCCGCCCCAGAAGAGGATAAAGGAGAGCAATAGGAGGCCTAGAATCATGATGACCTCTATTCGTTGGTGCGCAAAAGTCAATTTCTCTCTCATCTTCAGCTAGAGATAAATGGGAAGGCGACTTACTCGTGCCAGCAAACCAAAACTCAGTTTCGCCATAAAACTTCACTGGGAAGCAGTTCAAGCCCACAATCACAATAATCATGATCGTGACCCACACTGCAATATTCACAGGCGGACTCCAGTACTCGATGACGAGCGCCGCAGCCGTAATCTCGTATGGCACCAAAATACCAAGAGAGTAGAAGTACAGCCATCCAAGACCAAAGCCCAGCGAGCGAGATACATAGCGCGCGCCGAAGAGGTTCATCGAGGATCCGGGGGTGGGCAGGTAGGCAGCGACTTCAATGATTCCAGCGACAGTGCAGAAAATCAAAAAGGACATGACGCAGAAAGCTCCGAGAATGAAGGCTGGTCCACCTCGCGAAAGAGTGACTCCACTGCCGACGAAGAGACCGGTTCCAATTGTGCCACCAAGCGCAATCATCTGAGCATGTCTGCGAACTATTAGCTATCTCCCTCACTGACGGACGTGTTCGAGATATAGAATGAGGACATACCGTGACTTGAGACCTCGCTGAGTAGTTTCATACCGCTCATCGAAGATTTCTCCCGCAATAACGGTAGGATCAACCGCAGAAGGCTTTCTCGGTCTGGCATCCTGTACATTGCCAACGCCATACTCGACATCTTGGCTATTGCCAACAATCTCATCCACCTTTTTCTCCGACATGATATGCGCTTTCTCCTGTCGGGCGCAGTTCAGTTGGGACCTACTACTGCAGACTTGGACATCAAAAAGAAAAAGACAGGGAGAGAGAGGGAGAGGTATTTAATCATGCATCAGCTCAGCAATCTCGCCACTAAGACCTAACGGATAGCGTTACTTTTTTATGAAGTCGACCCGCGCACATTCTTCCGACGCCGATTCAAGTTCCCGGTAAAGGTAGCAACTGTTGATAGGACGCCCGCGTACGCTATCCGCACCTTCCGTCCCTCACGAGCACGTATTAGGCTTGCATTTCCAAGAAACTGGGCGTTGCACCCACTATTCTGGATGCGGAGGCACCGAGAGGACAGAGGCAAGGGTGGTGGTGATAGCTGGTGATAAGCGCTGATAAGAGATGTCAAGATGTGATAAGCATTGGTGAATGGTGAAAAAGGGGGGGCTGAGCAAGGGAAACAGATGAGCTCATCGTTGAGACTTTTTGATTCCCAACATATTTTCAGCTTGATTCTTAAGTTGCTCGGTTGCATGTATACAATGCATTAGAGACGATCAGAGAGCGTACTTGCCCGCGTGCGTGGTGGGGATTTCGGTTGCCGAGTCGCCTAGTAATGATGCCGACGCGGGGTAAAGGTACCTTGCATTCCAACCGCTGCGCAAACAACTGGATACGTAAATGCTGCTGTTGGCTTTGAACGGGGGTTACGGAGAGAAGTTACAGCAAAGGAATGTTTTGGGCAAAGCGCCGAGGCAGATGGCGCGTCGTTATCGCAGGCTGCCCGATCCCCAAGATGAATTAGGCCTCAACGGGCTTAGCACACTTCTCGGCATCTAAACCCCAACGGGACGGCGCGGGCTTTATTGCCGTTTCTAAATACCTCCGTTGGTGAGTGCAGCAAAGGTTGCATGTACGGCCTGGCGACTCGACGCTGAAGGCATTCGGAAAATAAACTCTATTGCATTGAAACCTGATACGTGAACATGATATACTCCGGTCATACTCTCCACCCACCACTAATCCTTCCCCCTCGTGAACTCATAACATGCATGTCGACCCTAAGAACGACAAGACGCTGTCTCTATATTAACCGCACCGCTATTGGTCTTCACGGCGCTTTTCTTCCCCAACCCCTCCCGAAGCCGCCGAAGCAGCAAGCCTGTCATCAAACCGCCTCTCAATCTCAAAGATTCCATATACCCCAGGCTCGAAAATCTTCATCCCGCAATCACAATGCAACTTTCCACGCTTTCCACCAAGTAGCAATATATGCCGCTTGTTTCCGCTCAACCACTCCCTTTTGACGTCTGTTCGCCAGCTTAGGCCGCAGCCGTGGCCGAGACAAATGTAGATGTGTTGCGATGCGGGGTTCCGGGGTCGAGCAACGATGCGAGTGTCGGCAGCGGCGTTGGACACGATGGTTTGAGACGTGATGTCTAGGCTTTGGGTTGTGAATGTAGGCGTGATGTTTGAGTGCCAGATCAGTGGACAGCCACGGCATTGGAGGAGGCCCAGGGGGTGAGTGCTTTTTCCGGCGAGATGCAGTATTGTATTTAGATGCCCGCAAAGACATCGCCAGTTTCCGACGCGTTCGCCGTGGTTTTGCTGGGCGTCCAATACGGCGGATTTTGTCGCCTCGAGTTTCGAAGGTAGACCGAACAGGCGGCGGAGGTGACCGCGGACGGAGTCGTCTGTGTTCATGTTTGTTGAGGCGAGGCTTCTTTTCTCGAAGAATGAGGGTATTGATACTTTTAGATTGATATATATAAGTCGGAAGGTCGAAGACATTCTTGAGTCGTCTTGGATCTGCACTTCGTTCTTTTTTGAGACCACTCCGACACATGCTGCCCACAGCACGTCTTACATACGAATATACGAACGAATTCTATTCGCGAGGGCGTATATAGCTTCGACTAGACATTCTCAAAGACACAGTGTCAGCTGGACACGATTGCACGGCCGAATGAAACACTTCAAAATGTCTTGCAACTGAAGGATAGACATGATCAGAGTTGTCCTGTTATGGCTGTTGGGCTCTATCAACTTTCGTTCATACAAGAGACCTCAAGGCAGAGTTTATCTCATGACGTTTTGATTCGAAATCGAATGCCTCGCCATGCCAAGTGTTTGTGTAATTGGCATTGCTGCAAACCTGGTGCTGATCGCAAGGACTAGATCTTAGTACATCGTTCATTGACAAACGCGAAACGGATTTAAAGAGAAATTGCCCAGTATTGAAATCCTGAAATTTTTGGCATTCGAACTACGTGTGTATCCTCTTGCGACTACGTTTCTGACAGTGGAAAGATCAACATTGTGTATTTCCGGTATACTCCCTACATGTATAATCATAGAACCATCCTGGAGTACAGAGAGAAAGCTCGAGATCGACGTGATTTAGAGTGTGTAACGGAACTGAGGATTCTTCATGTCCGTAAGATCATCCTCGTAAGCATGATCGAATCCTTCGAGGGTACCCGTTTTGTCGCGTCGGCTATTGTCCCAGACACAAACGTAGCGGTACACAACTGCAAGAACTGCAGTAGCGACTGCGGTTCCAAGGACTGCCTTGAAACCAGGGGCATAAACTGGAGCGTCCTTTGGTTTGAACAACAACGGACCTAGGAAGTTACCTGGATTGAGGGTTAATGACTTGTACTGTGCATAATTCGAAGAATTGAGAACTTACCAAGACAGTAGCCTACGAAAATGCCAGAGCTCGTGATCGATCGCTTGGTGTATCCCGCTGTATTTGCTACTGACAAGCCCATGAGCACAGCATAACTACCGCCGAAAGTAGAGAGAATGTAGCACGCAAACAGGAGCGCTCCCTTTGAGCTTTGTGGGAGCTGCCAAAGCATAATAGATGCAATAATGGTGCCGCATTGACAGCCGACAATGATCCAGGTTCGAATACCCTGGACACGATAGGCCAAGTAAGTCACACCCAGTGTAACGGATCCGATGATAACACCAGCAGGCATGACAAGCAGCAACGAATTCAATCGGTTGAATCCGAAACCCGAAATGATGATAGGCAGGAAGCTGGAAACGGGTCCGTTGGCAATCATCATAAGGAACGACATGCTGAATGCAAGCCAGAACTTGACGTCGTATAGTGACTCCCACACCTGCTCGAGTTTGAAGTGCTTGTTTCGGACGCCGGAATTGTTTTCCCGCATACGAGCTACAGCAATGTATCGCTCGCGGTCATTGAAGCCCTTTGCTCGGATTGGGTCAGGCGGCAAGAGGAAGAGGATGACGAATGCCCACAGAACTGTTATTCCACCAGCGAAAAGGTACCTAGAACATGTGTCAGTTACAAATTGTCGTGATTTAATGGGAGATTTTCTCACATGTACTGCCAGCTATTCAAGCTCCCACCCTTGATATGTCCAAGACCATAGTTAATCAACGGCGAAACAGCCGACGCGTACGCAGTCGCGCAGTACCACGCGCCCATTCGCAGAGCCTGCTCTCTCTTCTTATACCACCCACCCACAATCAACATAAACATGGGCGACACCCCTGACTCCAGAAAGCCAAGGAAAAAACGTTGCGCATAGAAACCCTGCCAGTTCGTGCATGCGGCAGAGCACATGAGACAAACGCCCCAGACGAACAGAATACCGGCTGCAACGCGCTCGATGGGCCAGCGCTGAGCCATGACAACCGCAGGGTAACTTCCCACGATGAATCCGAGGTAGAAGATGGAGGCTGAGAAGGAATACCTGTCTCCAGTCTTGAGCTGCAGGTCCTCGCGCAAGCCGAATAGCGCCTGGGGTATATCAGTTAAATGTTCTCGAATAACACAGTAGAAAGAGTACTCACAGCCTGAGACAACATGGCCTTGTCGTAATACTGAAGACCGTACGTGATAATCAGTAACGTGAGTAACTTCTTATCGATCCTGCGAACGAGCTTCTTCTCCTCCTCTGGCGTCCACGTCTCGTCTCCGTCGTACTGCATGAGCACACGGAGCGCCTCATCTTGATGTACAGTGTCAATGGCGGCTATGTTCTTGACCTCTTCCAGCGTCTTGGGCGTCGACGCCCCTTGCTCCGTTGCAACGGCTTGCTTTTCGTCGGCCATGTCTCAACGCAATTCTGTCGAAACAAGTTTGGGAGTGACAAGAAAGACTCCCGCAATCGTGAGACTGGGGAAAAGCGCCTAGTTTTGAGAAAAAGTTCCTAGGGCGGTGAAAAGAGCGCCCGCTTTTCTTTTCTGCTAATGGGTGATCATGGTATAGGTAAGTAAGTAGTAAGAAGTGGGGTTTGTGGCAAGGGTCGGAGATTGATATTAGCCAGACCGTTGTCTGGATTCCCTGGTTGATGGGTGTTTACTCAACAGCTGGACCTGGACGGCGATCATAGCAGTTCCCAGCTGTAAATTTTGACGGTGATAGAGTACTTTTGGTTGACCTTGCACAACGTGCATCGGGCATGTGTAGTGAGCCTGCAGGCCGGCCGCTTCCGTCTTGTGCCCAAGTAGGCAAGTCTGGTTCCCTATGCGATGCTGACACAATGGGGGTGGCTGCTTGTCGGGCCATACAACGTACAAAGACTGTCACGGCCAAGGACTTGGCGCATATTTGGTGTGGGGTGGCCAGCACTCTAGACAACGCTGTGAATGCACTGACATGACACCCTCGCTAGAAGTATCGCCGCTAGGATTTCCCTTCAAGACTCTGCTTTGAGAGAGACATGGAACTGCGGTGAAGCTTGTTATACGAGTAACTAGCTTACCGTACTCGGTAATCCGCGGTCTAATCAGTAGCCAATACTTGTATTGAGGCTCTTCGGCATCCCTGCAGCAAGCATTCGACTGACCATGTTGTATTTTCCAGATGTGGAGCCTGTCTCGTATATAGGCGCCTGGGAGAACCACCGAAGCACGTGCGGTGCTGTGAACGCAGCCACGTTAAGTGGAGTACGGCCGCAACCTTATCCGTGTTTCCTTGGGAGAATGTGCATTCGTCAGAATATGCACGGGTCTCAGCAGAGGTGAGAAACTACAAACCTAGATTTCTATATACCCGAAACATTCCCGGATACTGCTTGGAGTCCGCTGTTAGTAGCGAGTACCGTAGTGGTTTTGACCAAGAAGTTCCAGTGAGGCTCACCGGGTAGTAGTTTAGTAGATGTTAGTACTGAAGCGTTCGAGATTTCCCAAGCAACGCTTCTGGTGAAGGTGGCAACCGGTTTGTATGCCCCGCCAAGTCGACGCGTATCTATACCGGAGGTATTGCGGGACGACAAGGACCGAAGCGGGAACGCTAAGGTTGTACCCGATGGCCTAGCCCATTGAAGACCACTCCTCTGTCGCGGTGACCGATTCGTCTTAGACCCGAGTGCATATTCTATCAGTATGAGAGGCGTTGTAAAAGATGCGCCTCCATGGAGTGATGTGCAAAGAGAAAAGTAGAGGGAATCATCGAATGGCCAAGAAAAACAGCTGGTTTAGACTCGGCCGCAAATTGCTTGACATCGCCAATGCTCATTTCTGGATGAAGAAAACGCTGCAAAACGGGCCTATTGCGCTCCTATTACGCTCTAAGAACAAGGTCTGGGGTTGGGCGGAGATGGATGGGCCCGAGAGCCGCAATGAAAACGGGAGAGGAAAACGTGGGCGACAAAATCCCCGGAGTGGCGCCCTATTACATTCGATAACGCGCGGGCAAGTCCGCAACTGGCAAGGTTCCATCACATCACCTGAACATTATAACGATAGTCGGTATATGGTGGCGCGAACTACAGGCGATTTTGGAGTCCCGGAAATTCCAAAACTCCGCCAAAAGACAGGGTAAAAACTGGACTACTTATGACAAGAATTACGACGTTGTTTGACACGCGTACACACATGGACGACCTTTAGTCTTCGATTTACCTGTCTCCTCAACCGAGTACCACGCATGGAAAAACAGCATCTTTCTCCGAAACGCTAGTCTACATCCCTATCTGTTCCCTAGTGTACATACATCCCCGTGTCAAATATGTCAAATAGGTCATAATGAGGGGTATTACAACGTTACGTAGCAAAACCATAAATAAGGACTAGTTCAACCAAGCGTCGATGTCAACAACGGGCCAATTACGCTCGCGCCTCCGCGATTGGACCAGTTGCCAGCGGGGATGTGGACGGGACGGGTACGCGGGACTGTATTTTATTTGCGAAGAGGTAAATCATACCACCTCAACAGTTCGGTCGTAGGAACATGGCAGCCGAAGTCCCGCATAGACCTGTTTTACATGATTTCTCGGTAGTGGAGGGTGCTTAGCTGGTCAGCCCTAATAGCTACGTCGCGGCTGCCAGTTCGGTGCTTGCTTCGTTCGGTTGGAGCGAGATGGAGGTTGTTCCGAGTTCAACGGTCGTAAGAGTGAGCCAAGGAGCGAGTTGGGTGTTATGCTTACAACAAAAAGATCGTATGATACCGTGCGATCTCTATTTGTCCGGATCAATTGAACTGTCATAATACGACTACCACATCGCGGTTCGTTTAGTAATAACCACGATGCAGGGACGACTCGAACTAAAGTGGGCTTGAGCTCGGTAACCGTACTGGCATATCCCTGGCACAGTGCAGTGTAATTTCCATATTTGACGTCGTCCTGGATCGGATCCAAGACTATGAGATTGTCGCACTTCTTTTTCTTTCCTTTCATTGTTTGGTAGACTTGAGTTTCACAATGCAAAGGACATTGCATAACAGTGAAAGTCCTATACCCACACTGGAGGAGCCGAGAAGAAGTGCAAGTATAATATGAGACAAAGAACAAGATTCGGAAAGCTGATACGTGTTCTATTCGAATCCTGTACAAAATGCGTCGCTGTCAGGTTGTGAAGATATTTCATGTACTACAAATACTTCATCATGTTCGCACAGTAGGTAACCGTCGGTGACAAAAGTTGTGAACGAACAAATTGAACACACTAAATGATTTAATGACAAAACATATCACTAAGATAATCAGGCTAGCTTCCCGTTTACATCAGAAGCCCTGACTAAATCCACATCCGAACCGCTGCGAACATGCGGCGCATATATGGGTCAAGAGTGGATCGCATCCACCGTCCGTGCAACAATACCAGAACCGCTACTACTACTACTACTACTATCCAAGACCCCCACTTCGCCCCAAGTCATCCCTCATCAATCTCTCTTCCCTCTCTCAACCTTCGGGGTAGCGCTCATCGGAATATCCGGTCGCCCAGTCATCCGAATGCGCTCCATGATCAATCGCTCCGTGCGACTCAGCGAGCGACAAGGTGTACCGCATCGTCCAGCAGCGCGCTGCATCTCGTGTAGGTCGTTCTGCGAATCGCTCGCGTATGTGCGTATGGTGGGACCGAATGTGAGGGTTGGTGGGGGGTAGGATAGGCCTGGGGAGCTGGAAGGATAGCTTAGATTGCCTTCAGGACTTGAATGTGGGTGCAGAGGGGAGGGCTGGTGGATTGGGGTGACGGGTTGGCTTCGAGGAGGAGTCTTGTTCTGGAGAGGGCTGACGTCCTGGAGAAGGATGAATGGGTGGCGTCGTCCGGCGTTCTCGAGGGCGGATTTGCGGTTGTGGCGTTTGTAGAGATGGATGCATATCATGATCATACCGATGAGGAGCGCCAACCCGCCCCCGATTATGGCGAAGTACTTTCTGTTTTGTTGTAGCCTGCAGGTTCGTCAGTAGTGGAATTGTATGGTGTGACCATTTTACCTACCAGGATCCTTGGTCTTCAATAGCATCCACGTGTGTTTGGGTTGGCGGTGGAGCAGACGTCGTTGGTGTCTGCATCGTTACCAAAGTTGTGTAGACAGTGGTAAGCGTTGGCAAGGTGACTGTTGGCAAGGTGGTCGTCGACGGGAGATGGGAAGTCGTCGTCTCTGGTATGTCGGACTGGCCACACATTCGATTGTAGTATTGATGGATGAGCTTGTCGTCATCATCACTACATACTTCATGACAGATAGCACCACTTTCGTGTAGGTCCCCCAGATATGCTGATTGACAGACACAATCTTGGTAGGTGAAGTGGTTGGATACTGGGGCAGCCGGCGGAACACAATTTGCCTCTGATGCTTCAAGTATCTTGCAGCTGCTTGCACACTCTGGGAGTGCATTGTAGTCAAACACGGTTGAGCCTGACACCAGATTTGGCAAGCTAGCTGAGTGGTCCATAGCTGGTTGTATGTTGAGATTATCGTAGTTGTGGGTTGTGTAAGCTGGGAGTTTTTGGATCCAGATTCGAGTTGAAGGACTTTTGGTCATGCAAGAGAGAGAATACATGGGGGCAATTTTGGTTCATGGCAGTGATAGCGAGTGAGGCTCGTCTACTATGAATGTGAATTCAGCCTAGCTGCTAGATCGGCTCTGTTGGTGAATCGCCGTCCATGTGAACACAGTAGTGAACGAGACGTAAACACAGGCGTTGTTTAGCCTTTCACCATACTGTGGGGGCAATCCACCAGCGCGATCTATTGCGTATCATTTCTGCTTGCTCGAAATGTGAATATTGAGTAAGGGGTTTGAATTCTATAAACACCAGAATGTAGAAAAATGATAAACTGCTCTTCTAAATGAACTGATGAGGGACTGATGTGTTGCATACTAGTGCATGCCAAACGAGCGACTGTCGCAACTGATCAACGAATGGAAATTCCACCACAAGTGCAAAAACCCCTTGTCCTGTACCACTTTCTCCCCTTTAGAGCCATCCCGTGACCCTCCTATTGCGCACTGAAAGTGGAGTTCAAAGGACCGAACTTGATGTTGCTGAAAGTCACTGTAGCATCTGGGTTGTTGGTCTCAAGATCCTTTGGTACACCGCTGGTCGTTGCGCATTCTCCTCGACCGGCACCGAGATCCTTTTCTGGGTCCTTGTCCGTGGGGTACGTAGAGTCGAGCCACAGCATGTTGCTGTTGTGGTCATCCCATACACTCATGACAAGAACCATACCTTGGGCAAGAGCCTTGGCCATATTTCCCATGCCGCCCTTCTTCTGGAAATCAGTCGGGTCGCCGAAGACAGACTTCTGCTGGTCGCAGAACTTGGAGTTGATGGCGTTGCCGTCGATTCCTGGAATTTTGGATGCAGGTTGAGGAATCACTTTGCCGCCCTGGACGTAGAGGCGCCTGATCTCCAAGCTGTCGCCAGTTCCGACGAACTGAGTGACGACTGTGAACTTTTTCGATGTGTCCACTGTCTTGCCCTTTCCGTAAAAGTCTTTGACACCCATGCGGTAGCTGTTAAAGTCGCAACCATCTGCGTCGCACACTCCGGCATAGCGTGTGGCCGAGTATGTACCTCCGCATGAGTCACCGTCGCAGCGGGTTTGTCCAATTGTGCTGCAAGAGTGTGGAGTAACAGCCGTGCTGACCGAGTTAGCCTCCCAAATGTCCATCTCTGCACAGCTGGAACCATGGCCGCCAACGCCGGCATTCTGGTCAGTCTCCGACGGTTTCCAGCCTTCAACATTGGCCTGAAGTGATGGTAAGCATGTTGGCAATATTCCATGAGTACATGTGCTGTCACTCACCTCGCCGTTAATGAACTTGAGATCCCTTGGAGCCTGGGCATCGCAATAACCAGTTCCGTACTTGGCACCAGCTTTGTTACCTGGATACTTGCTGAGACCACCGTCTGGATCCATCGAGACGAAGTACAGTGCGCCGTTGAAACCACAGGGTAGTTTGGAGACATCTACGTCGAACGTGAACTCTTGGTTGCCTGTGAATTTGAACATCTCATAGGTCTTCTCGTCCTTCATCAGGTAGGTACGCGATCCAATGTTTGTGGAGTACGAGCCCTTGGTGACGAAAACGAGTTTCAAGGCATTGCCGCTGGTAGTGATACCGTAGGTGCCTGAATAGTCCGCACCATCGATAGCACAGTTGGCAGCGCATGCCTTGTTGTCTGGGCAATATTTCGTGTCCCAAGTATTGCCAGTATAGCAGTTTGTGTAGCTTGAGTTCAGTCAGCAAAAGTGAGCCAGAGTATCGTGTCTCATACATACCCTTCCTTGGTGTGAAGCCATCGCCAGTTGGCATCAACGACAACTTCGCCGTTTTTGGCGGTACAACTTCCTGCCGCGGTGCAGGATTGCCATGTCAACTTAGGGTGCACTTCCTCCTTCTGCGTTCCCACCAGCTGACCACGAACTGCGTGAAGAAGAGAAATGGTAACTGCCAGAGTCCGGTACATGGTGAAGATGCTGATGTCTATGTTGAGTGTGATATTCGAGAGAGCTTGAAGGAGATCCTTTATATACATCCAGCACCGAGGCTGTTGCGGTCCGGAATCCCGTTTCATCACCGACTGATAGATGGGAGAGTTTGTCCGTCGTATCCTTGATACAAGCTAAACATTGTGTATATTAGACTCCGAGCCATCATACTAAGTTCTGCAGTTCACGTGTAGGCTAAATTCGCTAAATTGTGTTGTGCTTACGCACTGCGCAATAACTTGGTGCCCGTACGAACTGATAGTAGGGGTTATCAACGGCTGGCAACAGTTTTTTGTAAGACACATAGAAAGCTGCCGAACTATCAAGAATATGTCCCTCTTTACAAAATTACAGTGAAGGGCGGACATTTTGGTGACGAAGCTGGATACTCTCCAGTGACCTGATAGTCAGTCAGTCAGTTCCGAAGTCATGCGCAATTTGGACATACTATAAGAGACGGGGTAGGTCAAAAATTAACTTTGTCACAGAAAGTAAGCAAATGCTTCGATTGGCCGTCTCGAAACCGTAGGCATGAACGGCAAGTTCGGCTAAGCATACGAAGCTCACTGCCGCGCCCTGGGCACGAAACACGGAGAGTTCATCTTCTTGTTATTCGCTCAGGCTCATGCGCATATAGATTGTTTATATGGAGCATGTTTCGTCATCCACTTTCCGGCCCCGATTCGGGCTGTGACAGCCTCTTCTTGGAAAGAACCACAGCCTTGGCTGACCATTGACATGTCTTGGGTGGCACACAAATGGGCAGCAGGTTTTGCCTGCAATCAACATGACCTGCATAGCAAGGGACGAGAGACTGACTGTAAGATTGTGCCTGGGATCAGCATTCATCATTTGTGGGGTAGCGCAAGGGTTCCCCGCTTCGAGATGGAACGAATCAATGTTCCATACATCGACTCGGCCGACGTGGTGTTCGTCCAGGACACGATGAAGGCAACCAGTTGATGTTGTCCGATGTTGAGACAGGGCAAGAGACGGTATCCTGCAATTTTGTTGATAGCAAACTCAAAGGGTGGAAGAGTGCAGGCAAACCCAGCAGTCATAGTAAGTTATCCCCGCCCTAAGCTGGTGGTTATGTCCGAGTGTGCGCCGTGAATCCACGCCGGGCCGCGTGCATGTCATCCCCCTCCATTTCCGCAACCGCTCACCCTGACACGCTGTCTTCGATATCGCAACACTGATTGGTGCTGCTGCCGTCCCGAGTTTCCATGTCTGCTCCAGGTGCCGAATGGATCAGCGACAGATCGCGTGAAAACACGCCTCCGGAGCGCGACACTCCAGAAGGCAACGACGGCCCGTCTCAGCAGCGCACGAGCAAGAAGCGCAAGGTTCTGTCATGCTACGCCTGTCGCGGCCGCAAAATGAAGTGCGACCGCGTCTTTCCAGTATGCGGGCGGTGTCAAAAGACGGGAAGACGGCACGAATGCACTTATGATCCGCGCCTCTTGGAAGAGTCTAATGTTAATGTAGCCACACGAGCTGGCGATGCCACTTCCACCCTACTGGCGGAGCGACCTGCAAACATCGACCACTCTACCGACACATGCGATATTTTACAGCGGAAAGTCAGAGCTCAACAAGAGCGCATTGCATTGCTAGAGCAGCAGCTGGCCGGGCGGCAGACCAAACATAAGTCACAGTACCATGACGTCCTACCCGAAGAGCCAACATTCACAGAGGAGATTTTGCTCAAAGGGAAAGGGTTCAAGACTCAATTTCATGGTGTGACAAGTGTTATGAGCATTGCATCCACGGTATCTTCCACAGCAAGTCCGTTTGTGGATGCCTCGTGTGAGCTGACTTTCTTGCAAGTACCATGAGCTGCATCTCTTCACGCGCGAAGCTCTCGGTTTAGATCGTTGTCTCGTACATGTCGGAAATGACTTCAGAGCATACCGTGATCGAAGGAAGAAGTCTGCTAAAGAGTTTAATGCCGCACTCCATAGTGGTGATGCTAACGTACTGGCCTTACTTCCTGAGAAGAGTATTGTCGACACGCTCGCTGCTAGGTACTTTCGGACGTGTGAAACCAGCTACAGAATCCTGCATGGGCCATCCTTTTGGGAACAATACCAGGCCTTCTGGGAGAATACCTGTACCCACAAAGAACGCGTCAGCTTTGCCGTCATGCTCGTATTGATAATATCTATTACAAAGTGCCTCGACCAGAAAGAAGATGTCTTCGTCGGCGATACGACTATTGATCGGCAGATCGCTCAAGACCTCATTCACACCTGCGAATTCTGGATCAAGTTGCAGCCTCGGAAGCATGTAACTCTATCTTTCCTCCAATCAGCATGTCTCCTGCTGGTTGCTAAGCGGGTCAATTGTGTGGCGATGAAGCAGGACTGGATCAACTCTGGTGATCTTCTTCGGCTTGCTCTAGCATCTGGTATACACCGCGATCCAGCCTTGCAGGGGAGCGGTAAAATCTCAATTTTCGACCAGCAAATGAGAAAACGACTGTGGATTACCATTATGGAGTTGGAACTACAATCCTCGGTAGAAATTGGCCTTCAATCTGGGCTAACGGCCCTGTACTTCGACACACCAGCGCCAGCCCATCTTGCAGACGAGGTCTTCTCTGCAAACACAAAGCAGCTACCACCAGATCAACCAGATGAAGAATTTTCCTCCACCTCATTTCTTATTGCAAGCCTGAAATCGTTACCACTTCGCATTCATCTTACACAACTGCTGAACACGCCATCCAGTAACATCCAATACGTCGATGTTTTGCACTTTGATACTCAGATACATACAGCTGTCTCCGCCTTACCCAACTGGAAAAATGAATCTGCCGTAGTGCCATCCGCACTTCTCCGCTTGCAGCTGCTTCAATATCTTCTGATATTGCACAGGCCATTTGCCCAATCGGCCTCCACAAACACCCGCTTCATTTACTCTTTCACGACATGTGTGGATGTTTGCAATTCCATAATCACGATACACGGCGACCTGCTATCGAAGGGTATCTCCTTTCTTAGTAACATCCGTAACGACGTCATGAGAGTTGGTTTGACACTGTCCCAATTAATATTCCGGAATTGCACAATCAGCCCGGTGAAGTCATTGGTAGCACCAGCCGACCCTAAAGCCCGTTTACCGGACATCACCATGACCAAACGCGGGGTCCCGCTTGGCGATACGGTCTACCTTGCCTCACTACCGCAAAACTCTTTTCTGTTCAAGACACTATGTACATCGTCCCTGGAGATCCTTGATCGCACAAGGCAAATGTTTGAGCAAAAAGTACTTAGGCTAGGTACTGCATACATGGAGTACTGGATTTTGTCGGCCACAGTGGGTATATTGCCACACCCGCCTTCGTCTTCCATGTCAGCTACTCATGTCGACAATCCAAGCGACGAAATCATTTCTAGATGCCGGAAAGCCACCGGCTACTTTACTGCTTTAGCGTCCAAGGTGGTGGCTTTGCAGCAAGACCCGGACAATGATTTGGCTGCTTCTCTCCGTGCCACAATGTCAAGAGCCTCGCGACCCAAGGATGCCGCACATAATATGGAACACAATGCCTTTGAAACTGACGGTGTGTCTGGGATGAACCAAACAGTGATCGGAAGCTCAGCTTTCACTCATGCGAGCGGGGCAAATACTACTAATCCCAACTCTGGAACCTCTCTGAGCGACATGTATTCGCCCTTTGACATGTTGCAAGACATGCAGATCGATGGTAGTAACTGGTCGTTTCCAGACTTTTGGGCTTTCGATCTAGGGGGTGAATTTTGAAACTCTACACAGTTCTGCAGTTCGCAACAACCACCTTCTTTTCTCCGGAGGATCTTGTGGAGTAGCAAGGCTTGTCTCCTCCTGCCAAGCAAACCCAAAGCTTATTTTGGCGACCTTTTTTTTTCATTTAATCAATTGCAGATTAACCAGCTAGCCGCATGCATGGTGTACCCGGCATCTACCGAGGCTGAGTTGCGTCACCTGTCACGTAGTGCGTTACTGCCGCGCAACCTTCTCAATATTATCGCGATATTATGGTCCTGAGTGCGCGAATATTCAATGGTCGAGGCTGAGACTATGTGCTCTATTCATTTCATCCCAATCATCTTGTCATACTGCAGTTTCCTCAACGCTGCTGCACCCCGCACATCTTGCTGCTGCTCGTTTGCTATATTGGGCTCTGTTGCGCATCAGCCTGGTGAAGCGAGTATCTGTCTTACCAAAATCTGCATGTCGTTGATGTCCAGAGGCTCAGTGTAGATGAGGATGGGACGGTCGAGGTCGACCTCAGTATCCTTCACTACACTACACACTAGTGAGTTGGCTTCGTAGGTCGATCTATTTGCTACTCCTTCCTTGAAATGCCAAATGCTTTGCGCCAGCCATGGGCCTTTCGCCATATCTGAGCGCAACTCACCATGCCGAGCGGAAACAACCTTATTTTGCACTCTGCTGACCGCCAGCTCTCCAACCGTGGCGTACAATCATTTCAGCCTCAACTGTGAGCCGTGCCTGCTACGGGAAGTCACGTGACGAGCACCCGTGGCAAGTGACACATAACCGCCCATTTGTTGAGTTGGAGAAAATACCCATTATGCTATCAACAACTATGCTGAAAAAACGGAAAGTCTAGTAATCTTTGCACATATACGCATACTGAAGGTGCAAGGATGTAATAAACGATATACTCTACAAATCAGGGCCAGCCTGCTCATGCCCACTATACTCTACCTAAGTTGAAAAAAGCCCGTTTGAAATCTCATCATGTAAGCGCTAAATAGACAAAAAAAAGTATGCTAAATCACCTCATTCCATGACTGATCGAGAGTCTTCCTATCGACCGTCGCGTCCGTATCACCCTCGCCTTGAACTTCAGTCCCTCCACCGCCGTACTCTGCGCCACACTCGACAACATCTCCAAAAGCCTCGTATGCCTCGACTGGTACCGATGGGAGTGCGCCGCCCAGCTAAAATGCGTCCGTGTAAACGCCACGAGTGACTGAGTATATACTTGTGCCGCAGCAGAGTACTTTGCAGCCTTGATGTCGGACCAAACCTTCATCGCGTTTTGCATCTCGGTGTTGTGGATTGATACTACTGTAGCACGCGCCTTGTTGACGGCCTCGAGATCGCACGTGGTTTTCTGCCGTTGCTCGAGCAGCAACATGACGAGATTCATACGCACGCCTTTTTCGATGTCTTTGGATAGGCCCACAATGTCGTTTTGTAGGCCGATGGTACGTTGCATGCTGTTGAGCAATTTTTCGTGTAGAGGCGATGTCCAGAAACTTGAGCTAGAGTTGATGCTGCTTGTACTAATCGTCTCTTGGGCTTCTGTGCCAACCAGTGCGTGTCTCAAGATAGTAAAGAAAGGTCGGAGGCCGATTGTTACCAATCGCACTTGCAGATAGTCCTCTATGCCTGGCAACGCCGCTGTGCTTTCCAGATAAGAAGCATCTTGATTCAGTCCTTCTAGACAGTCGATGACGTCGGCAAAGACCTGAGCAAGAGTCTGAGGGGATAAAACTACTTGGCATTGCCGAATGAAGCTGCTGACGACTGCAAGTAGTTTTGCATGCCCACTTTCTGTCGGCTGGAGTGGATTTACACTTGCTGTCTGCAGCGCTTTCTTGATCCGTTCAAGTAGCAGTCCTCTTTCCAGACTCGCCATCTGTTCGAACTCGTCATCGACATCGCAAAGGAAATGAAACCAAGCCGCCATGGCTAATATACTGTTTCCAGCGTCTTTGATTGCAGGAAACGCTTTTCGCAATACAGTCACTTCCGTTGTGGCTTTCTTCCATGTCCAACCAGGGGTTTGCAGCGATGCTGGAGGTTGGAATGCGCGATAGTGGCGATGGATCAGCACAGCGAAATCGGTTGTCCCCGTATTCGATACAAGCCCAGTGGTGTCAAAGGGAGGCAGCTGAGAAAGAAGAAGTAGGCCATAGTCTGCTTCAACTTTGAGGTTGTCATGCAATCTTCCATTCGTTAAGTCCATAGTGGGTGTTTCTGCGAAGTCGTAGTCGTCTGTCGATTGATCAGATGAATGCTCGTACGAAGGAGCTGCATGGCTGTGTTTGTGCTTGGTTACACCGAAGTTTGATCTCGGCATCAAGTTGATGAATGGCATTGTGTTGTGATAGCTAATACAATGATCTTATTGTTTTGCAGCCGCGCAATTCTGCTACATATATCATGCGGGCGCATGGGTAGGTTCGCCAACCGAACATTGCGATACACTAATAGGGGTATCTAGTTAATCTTATATCAGATAGGTAGACTGATCAGTTGTTTCACTCAAGACTGACGTTCACCTTCTGTATAAGCTTTAGATATACATCTGCAACGATCAGCGTGCCAGTGCACGGGGCCGCCAGCAGCCCTGCATTGCTACTAGACGGCCCTAGGTAGTTGTATCGTATTGTTTTGCATGTTCACTATATTTATGTCCTTGGAGGATCCTCCGACCCTCTGGAGACAGTTAATAGCACTGAGAGAAGTTTATAAGGACATTGAACATCTTGCACTGGCATCCTCTTCCCTCCAATTTAGATAGTCATGTACACACCCCTGAAGCCAATTTTTCAGTCTCTGATCAGTGCAGTTGGGTTGCAATTTGATTGGTCTTATTCTATTTAATAGATGTTGTGGTGGCTGTCGTGCTACAAGGAAATGAAACTTAACCATGTCCCTCTGCCGAACAGTCAGCTTATGTCATTCCATACAACACGTGGCGATGCGCATGTACTCTTTTCCTGAATTGCCTGCTGCTATGGGAAATGTATGTTACCGTTGTGCTAGGTTATCTACTGGCGAGGGCAGGAAGCTCGTGAATATCTGGTACTTTGGCCAATGTGGGTATATTAGAGAAATGCCTTAGGAACAAATATGACGTTTCGATCCCAAATCCACCCTAGCTGTGCGATCGTTCGCACAGACAAGGAAATGCTGTCTTTAGGCCATCATCGACCGGGGCCCTCATATGTATCTATTCCTTCTGCGGAATGGTTTGCGATCTTATGCTGAATCCCAGTAAAGTATACACAACAATCAGCTGGAGCGCTGAATAGCATGTCCTTGGTTGTCATCCAGAGTTGGATGACGCACCGCTGCTTCAAACGTTCATGGCCACCGAAACCATAATCAGACTCTCGCTCAGTTTGCGCCTCAGACATAATGTCAGATCGCATGAAACCAATGGGAATGAGTCACAGATATTCCATCAGTCAGTTGGAACTGAACTTTCCTCGGTCATATCATAAAAACTGTCGTTCACACAAGACAACTTTACAAAATGGCAGAGCTACCACAATTACGCCGAATCGGACCGCCTACTAGCGCTGGTACCACCGCAAGGCGAAGCACCGTATCATGACTTAAACTCTATCGAACAGTAAGCAAGACCAACCAGACCTGCGGGGTCGCGAAAGCCTATTAACGTTACCATGACCCGTGTGTGTTGTAGATGAAAATATATTTCCTTCTACCGAAAAACCAATCATAGTTGTCAACTGGTTTGTTATTGGCTGATATACACCTCACTACACCGACAATGCAAGTCCTTGCCCCTGTCATGCCGATCTACTGAGATCCAGAAAGACAACTGCATGCGCTAGTCCGTAATAGTGCCTCCGTACCAACGCCGATTTAAACCTCATACCTACGCCGAAAACCACCTTACCCTGCCTGCTTACTACATGATCGTCGTTACAAAAAGCCCACTTTCCAACTTTCCATCGTGAGGATTGATGACGTGAGCCTCATTTACCCCTGGCATTATCTGGCACTTGGATAAAATTCTGAAAAGCAGATTGAACGGCGGACGAATTTCTATTTTAGCCGTTTCTATTATTACCACATCGTAGTTAGAAAATGTTAGAGGTATTGATCATCACATCACTCCTGTACACCTAATTGCCCTTCTCTAGGCGACCCTTTGACACCCTTTTTCCCCTTCCAAACGATCCGCTGGCCAGCTCCAAGATGGGCAACGTGGTGTCGACGTTTAATCGTAAGTCAATAATATCGTGAAAAACTAGAATTTTGCGAAAAACAGGAGGGAAAGATGTACTAACACGCATCATTTCGCAGATATCGATAGGACGGGACCGGAGTATTTTCGACTTTTCCCTCCCGTACTGCAGACTCAGAACAGACATCTGCTCAAAGGAGGCCCGCTTGCAATCTATAATGCTCCCTTCCTCATAGCCTTCCAGGGCCTTTTCCTCCAGTTGGTCTTCTGGGGCATATATGCTGGTCTCGTCGGCTTTTCAATGAAGCGCATGATGGACCTCCATTACCTGTGTCTGACATTCACAGTAACATTTCTACTGCTCTCCATTCACTTTCTTTCGGACCTAGAACTGAATTCTAGCAAGTTGATATTCTTCACGCAGCATGTTGGGATCGAATACCTCATTGCTGTTCGAGTGCTGCTGCCGTCGTCATTTGTTCGACGGTGGATTGGCTATATCTTTTTCGTCGTCTGGCTGTTGATGGTTGGGGCGACTTGTGTGATTGTTAGCAACCATGCCGTTTACTTTGCTATCGCAATGGCGAGCTTATCTGACACCTTGATATCTGTCTGTGGGCTGGTGTTAATAGGCAGGAAGCTGAAGCAAAAAAAAGCAACTCAGCTTACTGGCCACAAACTGACTGTCGAGGCTATATCTGGCCTTGGCTTCTTGATTCATGGTAATTTCTGAGCTCAACAATAGTCTCTCTCATGACTCACATGTTTCCCACAGGTCTCTCAGCTCTGCCAAATACCGTAGCCGTAGTCCTGATTCTCAAGACGCAGGACCCGTCTTATTACTTTGGAATGGTATGGACTGCGATCGCCATGGCTGGCTTGTTCTCTGCTGGACTTCAGGTACCGGTAGCAGCCATGTACTTTGAAAACATCAGTTGTTGCTGTAGGCGCCGACGACAAACATTGCCAGGAGACGTTGGATGGGAGGAATCGGAGCATCACAAGGAAATGGTAACGCTTGAAAGGGGTAAGACGGATTTGGGGAGAGGAAATGATTCCGAGACGAGTGAGCAGTCACAGATGCCGCGAAACCATGTGTACGCTGCCTTTCACTTACCACTCGGAATTGTTTCATCATATCCACAGCGATAGGGCGAGAGCAACGAGGAGGCTAGGCTTATTTTACCCAACTCTTAGCTGTAGACGTAGGAGTGTAGTATGAGTATGCTGAGTCTGTCTCCAATTGTGGACTGTTTGATAATTGAAAACATTTCGTAGGACGTGATACCTCGGCGCCATCTGTGGTAACCTGAAAGATTTCCTTCAAGTGCGGCGGTGCGATGTCGCATGGGAATGGATAGGTTTTCTATGATTGTATACATCTCTTCTGAACCATATTGGTATCGCACATGTGCATACTTCCACATTAGTAAAATACCTAAATCTCTACAGTCTAAGTGATACACAGCTTTATAGAAGAGGCGTATAATATGCAGAGTACAACAAAAGTATGAGCTAATATGTATATCTCTCTTAAATCTACTAGTAATAGTTGCAAGATTTATAATTTCTTACAATATATATAGGTTAGGTACCTTCCTTATCACGTGTTTCTATCATGCAAGGTACGACTAGGGTGTTCCGCTAATGTCCGGGTTGAGAGTCAGCAGAACTTCCAATCACGGGCATGTTGAGGGCCAACGCTGACGTGGCAAATCACGGCAGATATCACCGCACTATAGCTTTTCCTACCTTTTACAGACACCATTGGACGGCTGCAGCATTAAAGTTTCGCGAGCGGGGAGATCGCCATCAAGCTTGGTCGGGAAATATGGAAACATGCATGTACCAGGGGAAACACATGTTCCTCGCATGACACTACTTGGCATCTAGGTACTTCGGTACTCTTCACCGGAACGAACCCAGTTAGCTACAAATGATAATATCCAGGTACCCATACCATTCATTACCTATTACATGCGAAGGCCCTATTTAATAGAGGTCGTCAGAAAGGACGATGAAAGCGTAGCTGGATTTGCATTCCATCTTTCAACAACCTATCCTTGGCTGATTTTATACGCGATATCGACGCTGGTCTAGCAAATATGAAGCTCCCTGCGACAATGGTAGCTGCTATGGTAGCTCTGCCACTCGTGTCGTCCACCATCATCACCGCGTACCAAAACATCACGCTCCCAACAGCCAATACCACCCTCCTCGGGAACATTTACAATCATTGGATCTACCTTGGAAATGATACGTACGACTTGACACGCTCCATGGTCGCGCCAACGACCAAGCCCGTCACTATACCCATGACAGGATCCCGGAAACGCGCCGTCATTGAGCCCTCACGCTCTGCGCTCATCATAATCGACATGCAGAACTTCTTCCTTCACCCAGAGCTTACTCCTAGCGCTGAAGGCGGGCGGAAAGCAGTGGAGCCCACGCTTAAAATGATCGATGCTTTTCGTAGAAACGGTATGCCCGTGCTCTGGACAAACTGGGGTCTTGATGGCAAGGATCTCCGGGATCTGCCTCCTGCAGACATTTCTGGGTTTTCACGAACTAAGCGCAGCCCCACAAGTAAGTTCTTCGCAGCTTTGGTTGCTGTAAAATAGTAATAAGTGGCGTAGATTCGTTCGGTAGCGATATGGGAAAGTTGAAAGATGGCACCGAGTTGGGTCGAACGTTGATGCGGGGCGCTTGGAATGCAAGGCCGTATGGGAAATTGTACGATGCGCAAGTTCAAGGCGTCAAGGATGGTACTGACCATTACTTCAACAAGAGTAAGTTTATAAGGAGAGTGTGATGGCGGGAATGACTAATGGTGACTTAGACCGTGTGAGCGGCATGTGGGGTGCGCAAACACCGCTTGGCCTTTGGTTGGAAGAAAATCAGATCACTACTCTTTTCTTCGGAGGTGTGAACTCTGATCAATGCGTAGTATGCTGTGCGTCCCAAAAGTCTCAACAAAAAGCTAATTTGGGTTGTAGTATGGTACACTCTTAGATGCATATTTCAAGGTCAGCAGACGACATTAAGACGTTTTTATTTCGAAAGACTGACAATACAGGGATACGATACCGTTTTCGTTGATGACATCTCGGCGACCATAAGTCCGGAATAGTGAGTATTCCACGTTTCGTATAAAAGCAACAAACTGACGCCATATCACTAGTGCGGCTCAAATGGTCCGATATAATTCAGATCGTAAGTGGAGTTTAGATACCATTACACACACGTCGATACTAACATGAACCAAGTCAATGGCTTTGTATCTAACTCATCTTTGATTATACCTGCACTCTCCTAATGGCCGATCCGCGTTCCTGTAGCGAGGCTGTGGGCGTTTGTCAAACCCGAATCAGTCCGGTAATAAGCTAGATCTATCTATTATACAAGATATGTTGACCACTTCTATCTGCGAGTGCTGCGTTTGATGTTGGAGGAAGGTTTCACGCGGAGACTGCGAGAGGACGGGGTCAAGCGGAGGTCGCGTCAATCATCGTCCATGGCCTCAGTTCCTGAGTGAGGCAGCTTGTACTACACAAACAGTTAGCAGGCTACATATGTTGTGCTGTGTCAAGGGATTCTACCTTGTCAGTACTGGGCAACGGCTCTTTGACGGGCTCGACCTGAACCTGGCTCGCGCGACCGGCAGCAACATCCTCAACATTACTATCCATGTCGATGTCGAGGTCGTCTTCCATTTCCATGCCACAAATCATTTCCTGGATGTCTGCAACCTGGCATTCATCTGTGTTCGCAATGATTTCGACATAGTCCTCTAGGTCGTACTCCTCTGCTTCCTCGTTCTTTAGTGCTTTCGCTAGCTGATCAAGTGACGCGCGGACTTCAGCCATGGTCTTATCCACGTCGACGTCTTGACCCTCTAGATGGTAGCTTCGAATCAATTTCCACAATTTGTCAGCTTCTTCCAAACAGTCGCAGGCCTCGTTCAAGTCCTCAAGTGCTGAGCCTAGCAGCAGAAGCGTCTTCATCCGATGGAAACGAGGAACAACAGGGTCTTCGAGCAGCTCACGGGCACTTTCGACACAATCGTCAAGGAGCTCGTTGTCATGCAGCGCTTTGGCACTGTTGAACTCTCTGGCGAATCGAATGTCGATGTCGCGTAAGTCAGCCATGGTCGGCGAGAGAAGCAAGCGGTGTTTATGGTATGGCTTCCCGGAGAAGAAAAAAGGTGGGAGCTATGGGAGGTAGAGCGAGTAGGCAGTGAGGGCGGGCAGTGAGGGTGAATGCTGGCTGCAGACCTTTTCCGAAACACTCACCATCACAAGGCAAACGCACACGCGCAAGCGAACATGCGCAAGCGCGCAAGGAACGGTTGTCATTAGGCCGAAACTCTTCACCTGGTCAGTACTTAACTGCCACGCTCAACTACCGTTCTTACCTACTATTCTTACCTACTATTCTTAACCACTATTTTTAAGTATTACACCCAACTGCCGCAATCATTATGGAACAACGGACTGACTGCCTAGCTTTCAGCCAAACCGCCCCCATCTCCCTGGGCCTCGCCCCGCCTCGCTGTTCTCCACTTACAGAAAGCCAGTCCGCGGCGCGCCTGTCTGTGTGCCCCTTTCAGGTGTTGCTGCTGCATCGGCCTTCGCGATGCAGCCACACCAGTCGAGCATGGTAACCCCGCGCAAGGACTGTGTGGGGAAGAAGGTCGCTGATGACGGTGCTCATTTCGATGCTGACTTCGATCCTGCGACAAATAATCTTTCTGAGTCGGCTTCTGGGGAAGCCCTGTCGAATACGCCCCCATCGAAGACCGGGTCGAAGCGAACAAGCAAAATGCCTTTGCAGGCAACGGTGTTGAAGAAACAAAAGAGAAGAAGAGTTATAGTTCCAAATATTCAGGAAGTTCCTGCTACTCAGGCAGCCCCCGCTACTACTTGAGTAGCGGGGGCCAGTTCACTGGGGCTGGACTGTGGGAACATGGACATAAAGTTGGACGAGACCACAACCATCGTCAACAGCTTCCTCAAACTCGTTGACAAAAATGGGCTTCGGGTAAAGCCAGGATCCCAGCACGAGTACACACCAATCTACCTTTACACCTGAACTCACATCCTCGGGTTGCCGCTGTACGATAGCGCGAAACGCTTCTACAAGCTGATAGAGGAAGAGGTCGTTCTATATACTTACAACCGGACGAGGTTATTCTATATAACTACAACCCAAATCATGGTATGACAGGCGCAGGCGCATGCACATGGCTTACGCGCCTCGCCGGAACTCGCCTACTAGTCATGTTTCCAGCGGGACCCTGTTATCCTCACGTGGACATTACTATGTACCTGCTTTGGACTCTGTTAGTGCTCCACTACTATCACAAGACACGGACGCGCACATCGTCGCATCCTCTGACACGACACAACACATCAACGTTACCCGGCGACAGGTCTACTTGAGTGTGAACGCAACGTCTGCTTCAACTCTATCATACGAGATTCCAGATAACTACGCCGGCTAAACCTCGGAAAGGGCGCTCTAGTTGTCTGGTGTGTTTCCCGCAAAGTCTGCGTTTTGCCTCGCTTAGACTGAAACTGTTGGAAGAGCGCAGTCTTGGCCTGCAATGGCGGGCCGTGGATGCCGTAGGTGCGGTCTCTGGACCTGATCTTGAGTGTGCTTCGGACGCCAAAAAAACGCGGAAATTAACCCCAGGAGCTGGAGCCAAGGCCCTTACTCGCTACTCCGCCTTGCAGAAGACGGAAACTAATCGGACTTCGTCTAGTCGGTGGTGGTGGCGTCCTGCGTGGCTGTCATGTTCTACCGGTGCCTTCATCTGTCGCTGTTCATGGTCGCACCACACTCTCTAACACAGCTTCAACAAATTCGTATTGAAAGACCTTCATTCCAGTAGGCTGTTCATCAGCCCACACTATTTCAGCGGATTTGAGCCTCTCTCAGGGGTGCAGCATGAATTATGTCCTCTTTCGGCCAAGCGCCACTGTAGGATACCAAACCGGGTAAACGTACCGTATCGGTATAGTCACTATCCTGCGGGGCCCCACAATCAAATTTAAGTAATATATTCCACCAAGTAAAAGCTGGCGGAATAGATTGGGACAGCTTCCATGATTCTTCTCTGAGCGCCACCAAGAGCCTCTATGCCTTAACGACGATACTTGGAAATGATGGACATCACGAGGCCAATCTAGATAAGGCATTGGACCAATCGAGGCGTTGGCTAGTTTAGATGAGAAGGATACAGTCCATCACAGGAAGCAATTCCGTCCCGGGCCTTTGTCTAGAAGTACAGTATAAGTAGAGTAGGAATTCCAATTGAACAGTCTGCCACCCACCACTCCTTCAACAGCATCGACTTCTCCTCGATTAGCCCACAATGGCACGTTATGCACTTCTTGCGGCAGCCCTTTTGGGTTTCACAGTCGCCCAAACCCCAGGGACCACTCCTGAAGTACACCCCAAGCTCACCACGTGGAAGTGCACCAAGCGTGGTGGATGCAAGGCGCAGAACACTGCCATCGTCACAGACTCGGCCGCCCACCCCATCCACCAGAAGAACAACTCGACCCTGGGCTGTGGATCCTGGGGTAACGGTCCCGACCCCACAGCGTGCCCTACCAAGGAGGCTTGTGCCAAGAACTGCATTATCGAGGGCATCTCCGACTATTCAACCGTAGGCGTCTTCACCAAGGGCGCCGACCTCCGCTTGGACATGTACAGCCCTGCGGGCAACTTTGTTAGCCCTCGAGTCTACCTCCTATCTAAAGATGAGAAGAACTACGAGATGCTCCAGCTCACTGGTAACGAGCTGACCTTTGACGTTGACATGTCTAAGTTGCCCTGTGGCATGAACGGTGCCCTTTACCTTAGCGAGATGAGGGCCGACGGCGGTCGCTCCAAGCTCAATCCTAAAGGTGCTGCTTACGGTACAGGCTACTGTGACGCGCAGTGCTTCGTGACTCCCTGGATCAACGGTGAAGTAAGTACAGCCTCTTTCCCGTGCGACCACTTATGGTTTTCGACCCAACAAGACAGTTAATGATGCGGATACCTCTATTTCTCGTCAATCATGCTAATTCTTCACAGGGAAATGTCGCAAAGCAAGGTGTCTGCTGCAACGAAATGGACATCTGGGAAGCCAACAGCCGCTCCACTTCGATCGCACCGCACACATGCGGCAAGCCAAGCATTTTTGGCTGCACCGGCGATGAGTGCAGCAAGACGGGTCTTTGCGATAAGAATGGCTGCGTCGATAACCCGTACAAGACCCGCGGCGACAAGGCCTACTACGGCCTAGGCCTCAAAGTCGATACGAACCGCCCCTTCACTGTCGTTACGCAGTTCCCTGCTAAGAACGGCGTGCTTCAATCCATCGTGCGCAAATACATCCAAGATGGCGTCGTCATGGACAACGCCGTCAAGAACATCACCATGGACCAGGCGTACTGCTCTGCTCAGGGCGGCGCGGAAATGTACAACCAGCTAGGAGGCCACAAGGTTATGGGCGATGCCATGTCCCGCGGCATGGTCCTCGCCATGAGCGTCTGGTGGGACGAGGGCGGTGCCATGCAGTGGCTTGACAGCGGTGCCTCAGGCCCATGCAATGCCACCGAGGGTTTCCCCGCTGAGATCATCAAGAAGGTTAAGAACCCAACTGTGACTTTCAGCAAGATCAAGTGGGGCGAGATTGGCTCGACTTTCTCGACGAAGAAGGCGACCGAGAAGCGATGGGAAGCTTAGAGCGCTCTCGTTCCTTGGAGAGCTTGGAAAATCATTCTGTATGTATATATTAAGGATTGAATTGAATGAATGAAAGAGTACATGTTTACCAATCCTGTATCCAATCAAGTGCACGTGTCGCATCATAAGGTAGCAGGTGTGGGAAAGCATCCCTCAGCTAGAAAGCCCTACAATAGTCATGCAACCCACCGATCGCAAGACAGAATTTAGCAATACTTATGTGTTTTACAAAACTTCCAAACGCGCTCACTGACACAAAGCCATGTTGGACGTCTGGTTACAAATTGTAAGTACGTAAGCCATGCAGCTTACTTACAAGGCGCCCCCTGCAAGCTCTAAATACATGTTGTGCTGACCCCAGATTCCGACCACCAATAACAATGTTTTGACTCACGATCGTTTTTGAGTCCTTCTCCGCATCTCAGTACCGCAGCAAGATCCCTTCTTATGAGTGCGCTTCTTCGCGCGACGTGCGGATATCCGCCGCTTGAAGATGGAAATTAGTATGAGTGGGGTGCGTCATGGCTGCGAAACTAAGCTGTTCTTCCATCCCGCTAGCTGCATCAAACTGAAGGTCGAGAAATTAGAATCGTTATCCGGATTGACTCTTTTATTCTTCTGCCCGTCCGTAATGAGATAGACATCCTGGTCGCATAGCAGGATCTTTGATGGGCTAAGTAAAGACTAGAAGTTTGTTTGCAAAGATGAGAAAGGCCGGAGTGCGCTTCTCTACCACTCTAGTAGCTTCTATTAGCATGGCCCAGTGAAGGACTGTTTTGAGGTTATTCAGAACAAGCCGATCTCTACAACTCACGTGACGTCACGCGTCGTACTAGTAGGTTTTTGCCCCGTGAGTTCGTCCAACGAGTCTGGATTATTGCACTGGGACTTTGGGAAACATGCAATAGAGTATCTAAAGTACACTGTATCTACAATTTGACCGTGAAAAGCGAAGGCGTGGCGTCATTGGCAGAGTTCCCTAATCGGGCTGCATGCATCTCCGTTGTACTCGCCTATATGATTACCACACTCCAGTATGATCACCCGCTAAGGTCATCTGCATTCAACCCTCTCTAATGGACAATGATACCTGATCAGCCCACGGACGACCTTATTCAATCACATGGGCGGAGAGAGCTGTCTTGACGGTTTCCATCGGATGCCACAACAGTACAATAAATACAATCAAGTCAAGATCTGGAGGATAAATCCCAACAAATGAACTGACCAACTGCAGGACGAGGTGTCCATGGTGAGTCAAGTGCAATTCCTTACCTCTCTTGCACCGGCGATGACCGTGAATCGTCTCAGGGGATGCATGTCTCTCAGCTGGCTAGTATATCAATTTAGCCCATATTCTTTTCCAAGAAAAGGACAAATACATCGCTTTTTAAACAGCTGGCTTGGTAAGGTAGAGATGCACAACTACATTGACTGACTGGTGTCGAACTGACTACCAAGCCCGTAAAATATCAACCTTATATACGGTCAACGTTTTGATTCGGCGTTTGGCCAAAGGCATTTGTTGGATAATCCAGAGATAGTTTACTGGCTCGGTCGCCCTTTGTGTAGTAGCAAAGCTGTCTCCATAGATGTAGAGCCGAACGATATGTTATGACGATCTAGTATCGCAAAGCGGTTGATAACGGCCCGAATACTATGCGGGGATGCAGGGCTTGGCAAGAAGACAGAATCATACGATAAGCAAGGCATGGAAGCGACCAACATTTTGATTTTCCTCCGTTTCCCTACAATATTCTTCCACCATCCTTCTTTCCAAACATGCCTAAATCTGCACTTTATTAGTTTCAGTAGAAATAGATCAAACTAGTAGTTCAAAGATATATGCAACCATTCTCCACATTGTCTACTTTTGTGGCTTTAAATATGGAGTGTATACTGGTATCAAAGGCGCCATGAGTAGATCGTGCTTGTGGTTGGCTTTAGAGCGCTTCACTAGTACTCCGACATTCGTCCAGCCCAAAGCTATATAAATGGGAATCTGCCACATTAAACAATGTGACAATCCAGGAATCACCATAAGCCAAAGAAGACAGAATCAAAAACAGCAAAATGGTCAGAGTCGCTATCGCAGGTGCAACGTCAGGTATTGGTCTCGCGTTCAAGGAACAACTCGACAAGCAAACGTCTCACGAATACATCATCTTGGTCCGGAAACCACTTGATCACGACCCAAAAGCTGTTTTAGTCGACTACAATTCAACGGCTGCACTAGCAGACGCTTTGCGCGAACATGCTATACATACGGTCATCTCCGCTCTTTCAATCAGCGATGAAGCAAGTGGCGTAGCACAGCTGAGACTCATCGAAGCCGCCAACCAGTCTGAGTGCGTGCAGCGCTTCTTGCCTAGTGAATTCGGTGCTGATTACCGTGAAGGGTAAGAAATTCTAAACGCCAACCTGTTCGAGATTAATCTGAACATTGTACTAGGATCTTCGAATACATGCCCAGTTATGGCTTCAAATTCAAAGCTCGTAATCTACTCGCCAACCTGAAAATGGAGTACAGCATTGTGTCCATTGGCCTTTTTCTAGACTACTACTGTCCGCCGTCGATTCCATCAGCTCTGGATCCCAATAAAGGCGCTGCTTTGTTCATAGATCTACAGCACAGATTTGCTGCGATCCCTGGGGATGGTAGTCAGCCAATTGTGCTGACCCATAGCACTGATGCGGCCCGTTTTGTCGTGGCAATGCTCAACCTCCCATCATGGTCTCGAGATTCTTTCTTCGCTGGCGAGCGTACATCTTTGGTAGAATTCTTGCAATGCGCAGAGGATATCCTCGACGTCAAATTCAAGGTTCATTACGATGATCACGAGAAGATTGAGGCGGGGGATATAACATTGACACCCAATCTGGCGGAGCGGTTTCCCGCTGATTTCGCGAAGGGCATGGTGAAGGGACTCGCGCTCGAGTATTTGCGAGGCCGTTCAAGCCTCCCACAGGAGAAATGCAGGAATGAGATTCTTTCTGATGGAAAGAGGCTCGGAATTCAACAGGTGCTACATGCGTGGAAGGTGGCAGGGGAGGCCTGACACATATCTTCTCCCATTTATGTTCATGTACCTTATTCTTTTCGCACCAAGAAATACATATACATACAACAAACGCATTCGTACTTTAGACCCGAACAGGATGTGTGAAGGTGGCAGGTCGCTACCTTCGCCCCGCGATTTCGTTTGCGACTTGGACATTTTCTTATCTTCGGTGATGTGTTATCGCTATACGAGTCTCGCATGATGAAAGAAGTCCTGGTGCTTGAACGGCAGCTCTGGGAAAGGCTTTACCTTGCATGCGTTCTGACCGAAAGTCGATGTCGATGCAAACGCTTTAGAGGCACTGATTACATGTTTTGGACTGCTCCCCTAGCAACGGCAGTCTCTAGGCAAACTGCAAGCCTACCCCTAGATAAGATGCGAATCGAATTTTATATGCTAAAAAATGTTTAAGGGAGGGATTTGTCACGCACTAAGTAGCCGTTTCGACGGCTCGAGGAAGCGTGTTAGAGGTGGTGCAGGATACAAAAGTGACAAGGGTGACGAAAACATGCATGTATTTGAGGGCTGATGCCCTTGTAGATAATGCCTGATGGTTGATGGTTTGAATGAAACGATATACAGCACATTACATCGTGCCACCTGACTACACAAAGGACAAGGATAATATACCTAATATGTTTTCGAAGCACTCAAGTCTCTATTGTAACCCATGGGCCGACACAAAAACGCTCAATAAAACTCTGGAAATGCCATCCCCTTACTTTAGTCACTTCTCTCTAGCACCCATCTACACGCGACCCCACCATTTAGATTTGGTTGTGCCGGCTACCTTTCTCTATTCTAGTGCGGTTGCTCAAAGCGCACTCACTACAGTCATGGAAACGTGAGCTGGTTAGTGTAATGAGAAGTCGGAGTCCTACTTCTTGGGTAACTAGTAAAATCAGTAGCCGAATGAAAACCGCGCCAGACATCAGCCGAGACCACAGCAAAAGTCATCATGAATAGCATTATAATATGTGTAAAAGTACTAGAAGCTTTACTAAGGAAGTTATTGTTTGTCTACTCAATCTTTATAGCTAAGTAGTGCGTAGTTTGGGCGTTATTAAGTGGTTGTGTTGTTGTGGTAGGGTCACTTTTCATCCGGCCATCTCAGTTCCCGCAGAGCCTACCCTACCCCATTATGGCGCGCTTCGCGACATGCCGTGCCTAGGCGCGATCCGGCTTTGATCCGTCGAACGGATACTTGAGTACACTGATGGAATTCGAGTACAGCGAGAGATCTGGGTTGAGCTGGGCCTGTAGGTAAAGGGTTAGCACCAATATGTGAATATACTGGACAAACGTACCCTATCTACCGGGCAGGTAGTTTCTTGAGCTCCGTAACGAGTGATTTCTGCCTTGCCGCTCTTTGTCTTGATCAATACCTGCTGGGTGCTGGCTTGCGATGGATCTCCGGCCAAATAGTTAAAAGGTTCAATTGTCATCGCAGAATGGGCCGTAGAGAACACGGTATTCGGTAGGTCTGCAGAATTTGGAGCGTGGTGCATGCCTAAGTTGAACCACACGACACTGTAATAGGGTTAGGATATGGTGTTGTGGGGGTAGTGGTGGTGAAGGAAAACTTACATGTCCTCCTGCACGAGCGACTCCCCATTGAAGTACTCATTGAAATCCACCTGAGGATCTTCAGGAGTAAGCGAGTTGTATGCGCCGACTGCATAAATCTCATTGTCCTTTTGTCTGGTAACGTAGAGGTGGTGGGTGGTGTGGTGAGCCGCATTTTTAGTGACATCCGAATCCTCAACCGTAAGATAAGCAACACCAGCCGCTGATACGATTAGCAAACGCTACGACCTATCTCAAAGTATTGTAACGAACCTGGAACGATCCTGTAACCGGGCAATTCGCCGTACTTATTCGGCGCGTCCTTGTTGACAACGGTGTATATTGTGCCACCGTTAGGCGACCAGTTGATCTTTCCCTGATCTTCATTTTCAATGAAGCTTCTCGCAATCTTCATGGTCTTGTGCGTGCGATTCGACCATTTGTACCTTTGCAAAAGTTAACACAGCTCGTTTGATGCTAGGGTTGTGAAGGGGTTTATCATACGTCTCAGTGGTTGGCACAATAGCAGCCTTCTGGAATGAATTAGCTTCTCCCAAGATGTCGAAGTCGGCCTTAAAGGTGATGACATGGTCATGCAGGGATCCGGAGAGGCTATCATGGATCTGGAAACCATAGTCTTCGTTTTGTGCGTAGAATGCCGACGAAATATATCCCGAGGCCCGAACCGCGACTTCAATCGACCCATCGAGGGAGAACTGATATGTAATCATGTAGTCGTAGTTGCCAATAGTGAAGACTGCGCGAATATTGAACGCAATGTTCTTAGTAACAGTTGTATAACCAGCCCAGGAGTGACGCTGGATGGGAAATCCTTTATCAATCTCGAACATGCCTTGTCCTGTTAGTCCTATGGTTATGGTTGCAGGCTTTAGGAGAAGTCTTACAAAGAGCATCATTCTGCGTAAATGTAGTTTCGCCGGTAGTTTGAGACACATTGAGGTAATGGGAGTAGGCGGGGCAGTCGTAGCCTAGAGCAATTTGGATCAGTATTATGTTCAATGGGTCATTAACAGTTTTGGTGTTCACCTTTGACAAGGGAAATCATTGGGGGTCCAAAGCCACTCATGCTGTCAAAGTAACTGAGATAAACCGTTAGCAAAAGTAAGTGCATCACTAGGGATTTTGAAGCCATACCATGTGCCTGATTGTACCGGGTCGATTCCACTATTCATTAAGTCAACACATCAGCATGTTATCAAAGTATTTAGGTATCGAATATTCGCTTACGCGTAATGTGCGATGGCTTCGTCCATTCCAAACTAGATATCGATTAGCCACATTGCCAAAGAAGCGATATAAAAGCTGAGCTTACCTCGTAGAGGACCCTCTTGCCCTTGTAACGAACATCGTAGAGGCGCACGCCATTGTCGCGGGTGATGCTGACGTAGAATGAGAAATCCACTAGAAAACCATCAGCTACATGTCGAGGATTCAATGCGAGGCTTAGATATCAACTTACTCCAGGTCACATAGTTCTCCTGCTCATCAACGGTAAATCTTTCCTTGCCTGCTTGGACCGGCGCAGGCGGTGGGAGGTTATCAAAAGGCAAGGGGGTTCCAATTGTTCGTGTATGAGCCCAAGGCTCGTCCACGTTCATTCCCAAAGCCTTGAAGTTCGGCTGATTAATAACCTTGCGGAAGTCATCCAGAGTTGGGTAGAACTCGTTATTGTAGACCCAGCCAGTCACCGACCACTTGCTAGGATCGCGGCCGGTGATATCGGTTCTCATGTAGAGGCCTAGCGGCAGAAGTGAGATGGTATCGTAGATGCTTGTGACTGGAGCATTAAACCCTTGCCACATAATGACCTTGCCTTCAGACGCCGTAATCGGAGCAGCAAAAGCGAGAGGTACTTGGAGGCCATCATCAACAGTCTTTATATGCTCATATTAGCCACTCAGACATACTGCCGAGAGATCACATCAAACTTACAAGGTTCCAAAGCTTCTTTGTTACATCTTCAGCGTCCTTCATGTTCTGTAGATTGAATGTAGCATAATCAGCTGTGTCTGGGTTTACGACTGAGATCTTCGGGTTCTTTCTAGTGTTGGCAAAAGTGAAGGGCAGCACAGCCGACGCATTTGTGATTGGCAGAGGGCCAACTTTGAACTCTTGAAGATAGGCCTCCTCAGGAGCTCCGAACATTACCGCAGCTAGCGCATATCTAGTCGGAGTCCCGCTGCTGTTGGATAGCAGAGGAAGGACATCTGTCTTGTTGGGCATCATGAGCTCAACTGACATGCTGGAAATTTGGTCAGTCTTGTTATATGGGTGCACAAGTAGCTTGTTTGTTTTACACTTACATTTTGTTGTCCCGACTGTTTACTGGGTTAGTAACGTCTTTGCTGCAAACTTTTGGGCAGATCTAACTTACCTTGTAGCATTATTTGCACTCGTTAGATTGAACCCGACGGCGTCACTGTGCAGAAGAGCCAAGACGTCTTTGGTCTCTGCCGCCGTCAAGCCACCCCAGAAGTTTTTGTGCGGAGCAACAGATGGAGGCTGTTCCCCCGAACAAGAACCTTCTGCACGCTGTTCGTGAGCGCTCCTGTCGATCCGTCTTTCCGAGAAAGCATTGCCCGGGACAATGAGTCCTAGGCAGGCCGCGAGGATGGTGCTGGAGAGAAGCATCATAAGTAACCGCTGTTTTATCAGAGTAACTCTTCAGCTTGAAAGAGACGAAATCAGCGTGGTGGAACAAATATTTCAAGCAGCCTTAGGCCTTTTATATAGATAAATACAACATCGCCAAGTTAGATATCCTCAAGTACAGACTTGTGTAGTACGTCCGTACCTGAGTCAGTTGGTCGTAAAATCCCCGACGGCGACTATCGTTGAGTTCGTCGTATGATTCCCCACGGTGGCTATCATGAATCAGGGGTGTATATACAGGGTTCTCTGTTGCATATCCCACGTTCAATAGTCCACATGTTCACGGTAGATACTACTCGATACTCTGAGCTTGGCATTCCCTGAGCTTGGCATTCCCTATACTCAGTAGCGAGGTTAGAACGGAACCAAACGGAAAAGTTCCGCATTAACATTGAGTCAATCTCCCGTAATAGAAACTTCAAGCCGTAATCAACTATGTCTATCGCAATAGTTATCTAGGCTATCTTATAGTCGATAACAGAATAACTAATGGTCCATTGTAAGCATACTCACGGCCTATCCGGCTCCCGTTATCTGGTGTTCCCCGGATTAAGCAGCGATCGGCCCGATTGCCTTTTGGCCCCTCTTAAACACCCGGTACCATTTCGTAAAAAAAAACTCTCGTTTAGTCAAGGACGATGTAGGACGTAAATTTTAAACATGAAAGCGTGAACTAGGTTATTCCTTAGCTAATGAGTATCATGCAGACTGACTTCTCTACTATCCAGCCGGGATAGAAAAGTGGGTAAAGCTACTGGGTTCACGCCGGTCCGTACGCCAAGTGATAGTAGGACCGAGAGATACTATTGGCTTGTAGTAAACAGTACGGACATGATAAGGAACCACGTGGGTACATCTTGTCTTGTCTATACCATAGCCAATTAAATCCACCGGTGCGTAAGCCCGGTGCGATCCTTCGTGAACATGTCCCTAGATTTACGACTCCACATGGCCGGGGACTATTCCGATAAAGTGGGGGCTTCTGAAACGAACGCACGGTTGTTGGGATGAGCTACAACAAAGAGATTTTCTCGCTAAAAGTTAGGGAAAGGGTACGAAAGTACAGGTTGGATAAGTAGCGGGCAGAGAAGATGGCTCCTGTTCTTGTCTACGCAGGGCGTTCAAAACGAGCTTGCAGTTTACCACTGTGTGAATACTTGGTTCCTGGCAGTAGAACCATCAAGTCCAAGCCATGATTCATGGTCCATGCATACTATGCTAAACCTTTGATATGCGAGACCTTGCCATAGCACAAATAGTCAGTGTATCTATCACAATGTGAACCAATGGAGGAGAGAAAAGCGTATAACCCCCATTCCGTACCTAAAGGTCTCACCGGATCCTCCACTATCTTCCACGGCCCGTTCCATTATGTACTAGACCCTACCTCCACCTCCCGAGGTCTTCCCCGTCCTCTCCTTACCTATTTCGCTAAGCTTACCGAAGCTAAACTCCTACTCGGTAACTGAACTCCTAATCGGATTAAACGGCCGTCTGCCATCTTCCGCATTTACTTCCGATACTTCCAAGCCAGCGATTATTCCCCGCAGTGCGTTCTTCTTTGTCCGTAGAGTAGAGCCACCTACATTTAGTGTTTGAGACCAAGTCCGCATGATCGCTATTGTGGTCACCGTCGTAGTCACCTCCATGGTCGCTGGTAGGTGGTGATGGGGCGTAAGGTCGAACGCTGAGGCCCACGTGCGAAATCCTCCGAAGCGGCGCGGACTAATAGTAGTAGTAACAGGCGTTTTAAACCAGGGTTGTCGGCATAAAGACAGTCCAGGGTAGGGAGCGACCTCACTAGGTACCCGTTACCAACCGGGGAAGTGAAGCGAATGCCCGTTTCCAATCAGCAATGAAAATCAATCAGGTCATGTATACCCTTTGCATCCCAGACAGTTGTCGCTGCTTAGTTAGCTAGTTGAAGGTATGAGCCTTTTGAGCATCCCAGGTATTTCTGTTTGATGCACACCATTAGTATGACAGTAATCTTCCGGCGCATAATGTACAAAACTATTGAACAGTGATCCTTCAAAGCTTGATTACATACAATTCAAAAGTACAGTCCTTGTTCGTAATACCATATTTGTTGATACAAGTTCTTAGTTACTACATACTTAGTATATCGTTGAGGAGATTTTCCAACCGTATGCAAAGCCCCCCTCCCTCCGGAATATTTGAGTCATGATCACATCTGGCCGATATGCAGTTTCTAGAAAGCTGCATCCAAGTACTTCCAGCGCCAAGCGACAGCAGTTCAGATTGCTATTCATCATTACCGTTTAAATAATTCTCGCTGCAGGAGGAAGTTCAGGGGTATATCTCCGTTTCGATATTTGCCATATGCTGTGTGTATGGCATGATGAGAGTGTATACGATATTCACGTCGGGCACCTCAGACTAAAGGTCAGGTACATGTCGTTCACAGGTGCCTTCGAAGAGGTACATTACTTTGATAGACACTGCGATATATTGCATACCCCGCAAAACAAGGCTTTGTTCCAGCTGATGATTCACCAACCAATCGGAGTCATCTGCTTGGAGGAAGTTGTACCAGGCCGAGGTGAACGGGTTTCCTACCAGAAATGAATTTGCCAAGCAACTCGTGGGGCTCGATGCGCCTAGATCCATGCTCTTGGGGAGCTCTTGCTTTCAGCCTATACCTGTTTAGGTGGTTTCAGAGATGTCCGCTAGGCCATAAACGTATGTAAACTGATGTAAAGGGCGCGATAGTAAGTCTTATACGGCAGGTCGATTGACACGGCAATAGGCCGAGGCCACCAGGCAACAAGTGACACTCTTCACAGTTCCGACCGCATCCGGAGAGCTTTTGAGGTAAGAGAAATACGACACATGGATTCCATGTAGTGTTTGCCTGACTTTGCTTGACTAAGTATTAGGGGTTCTAGTCTTAAGAAACGGGGTCTTGGAGGCCTGTACCTGGCATTTGTACGCTTGAAACTCACGCTGACACGTGGGTCCTGGGTATCTGTACAAGGAGGCTATATTCATTGCTCACCATAGATGTGCATCGGTGTATTGAGCATGCCGCGAGTTCTGAAAATGTGTCCGTTTAGGAGAAGAATATGGATAATACCTATAAAGTTCGGGGAACCGGGTTGGAGGAGCATTTTCATTCGCGGACGAGCCACAGTATGCCCCACAGCGCTGTACAAGGCCATGCCTTTGGCACCTCCGTGAATTAATAATTTATCAATGAAATCAATTGTTTTGAAATCTGAACAAGTGCAGTAGTCCACCTCGGTCATCAGTCGCCAAGCCCTAAAACGTGACGAAGGCTGTGGTACTTGCATATGCATATTTCGAATATACATCACCCTACCCCATAGCGTCTTGTGATCTTTACATAGCACAACCCTTGAGCATAAGTTTGGTCCGAAACTCGGACAGCAAGTTGAACTGACAACTCCATATGAGATGCTCCAAGTGGTTGCACAAATAACACACGAGTCCTTCCATGGAACAACCACTCCACATGCACAATCAACTTAGCGTTGCGTGAGGGAATTGTCACAAGCAATGGTTAGGTGTGTATGGATGTGGATAAGTACATAAACTTCTTCTCTCAGTTCTCACTCTACATACATCAGCAATGATATATGAGTCACTTCCCTCCAGCAGGCATTTCTCTGGTATACGTATACTTACGTATGTAGTTGCTGGTAAACCCAGGCAGCCTCTACTTGATTTGCATGAATGACCTGCTCACAAAGCTTTCGATTGTTGTGAAAACTTGAGAAATCAGTGCGCGAATTCAGGAGAATGCAGGCGCCATCATCTCAACCAAGATCGATGCTTGAGTGGCAAGGGAAATACCATGGCTTAGCATCAACCCTTCTCGACGAATCGTGTGTCAGATTCAAGTCCGTCACCACCTAGATGAATAATACAATTTCCTGTGCGCGCTGTAGAATGACTCTGCATGTATTGTCAAGGCCTGGGCTGGTTTTTTTTAACTTTCATTAATGATATGCTTTATAGCCGCCCTGGACCTTCGCTGCAGCCCAATTGTCTTGACCCCCCAACAAAACCTCTTTTGTCCACTGCAGGCGTTGCCCCCCTCGATTGTCATACAGCATCTGTCGAACCTCCCCAATCACCCTCCCATTTTCATCAGTCAATAAAATATCTCTAGCCGTATGCAGACCGCTCTTCCATCTTGTTAGCCATTTTTCCTTCCACGCGATCTTCGTCATGCGAGACTGTACCTCGCCTGAGAAAATGGACAGGAGGATTTCCTAATCCTTAACACCCCTCGCTTCTTTATCCCAGTTACTATGGCAATACTGACAGGAAGTGGCGAATATGAGGGAGCAAAGGGTGATCGATCGGCCAGGTATTGACCGCCGCGCACGCAAATGACTCCGACAACGAGAAACTTTGTGACCGTAGGGAGTTAGTTGAGCAGATAACGTTGCGTTACTTATACGAAGTCAAACTTTGACATGGATCATCCGTGATGCAAGCATGCACATACAATGCCTTGACATACAAAATGTGCGTAGCTGCTACAACTCCGATCACGAGACCAAAATCGTGGCGACCCATCGCTTGACATGCCAATAATGCTACCATGCTGGAGAAAATGGTCATGACCTACCAATAGGGCTCGGTGACATAATTCTGCAGGGTCGCGCCGGAGCATCAGTCGATGCTGCTACCTTTTCTTGGTAAGCGTTGAGCGTCATTGCGGGGGCACGGCCTTTTCAACGTCAATGCTGTTTCTCCATGTATTTCTAAAAATAAGCCGGGTACGGCAACAGAAAGGGGGTCAGTACTCGCGCGCTAGAACGTCTTAGTGTTTCCTATGCCAAAAGTGCATTTGGTCGATCAGTACGCCAGAGGTAGCCAACCCCCTACGACTGCTCAACGAGGAACCTCGTGATGCGACGTCGCATTGCGAGGTGAAAGACCATTTTCCATTGTCACGATGCCATAGACTCCATAATCACGAGAGAACGTTCACAAAGATGAATCTTAACAGTGACAAGATGTTGTATATAAATATGGCCTGGTCCCCCATACACAACGACACCACCAGCAGCATTCATCACTTCTACTACACTATTCACTTAATTCTCTAATATCCAAAACCCTCCAAACTCACTCTTCACCACCAAAATGCAGTTCTCCGCCGTCCTTCTCGCTCTCGCAGCCAGCGCCTCCGCTGCCGTCCTTCCCCGCGATGGCATGGGCCAGTGGGCCGTCACCGTTACCGTCCAACCCGCCATTAGAGATGTCTACCTCCACGCCGAGTTCACTTCGGATGAGTATCCTGAGGACAAGAAGTTGAGGAGCACCTGTGTTGAGGCTCCCGAAGCCGAGCTTTCTGTTATCCACAGATGCGACCGCGCCGCTTTCGATTTCCAGTGGGACGGAAAGAGTACGTTCAGTCTTTCACATCATTTCAGAGCAGAGCTAACATTCAATAGTCCTCAGCGTTCAACAAACTCTTCCCAGTGGTGTCACCGTCTTCGGTTCCGCCCCCTACGACGGCAGCTGCGAGTTCGACGCTGTCATCCCCGTCGACAGGGCCATCGTCTAAATTAGATGGTCACGCCCCTCCTTAGAGACGCGTCTTGGTCTTGTGTCTCCTGCAATTTTCAGGAGCTAGTTTGTATATATATCACAATGTACATTCAAACAATGTGAATGATCCTTGTTAATCTATTCTGGCTGTTCAGTAGAGCTTGAACGCTGGACGTGATCTTTGATGCCTGTATTCATCTAGAACTATCATTTTGGGTTTTTATGCTCAAATGTAGCAGAAATGTGCAAAGTCGACAAATAACATATTTTCGTTTTTGTGGGTGGCAGACGTGACATGGCATTTGGTATAAGGTTTTACCTTGCAAGGTAGTTTTGCCTCACATTGCATCGCTACAGTATGGTCCGACTCTAGTCCGTCCCTGGTCCGACCCTGGTCCGCTAAGTTAGTCCTGTGTTTTACTAAAAGGCCGAGCTCTCACCAGCTAGCATCCCCGAGCGGTGGGAGCATTCTTACGCACGATGAATCTCAGTTCGAACGGGTGTCATATCGTAGCTATGTAAATTTGGGAATGATGGTGAAACTTCTCTGTAATGGAAAGAAATCAATTTGAACATGCAATTTGTAGGCTGTAGATAATGGAATGATGATTTTGAGATGTTCCTGCTCACTCTCTACACATAATTCTTTGCCAATAACTTTTTGAATAATATTCCTAGCAAGAGAGGTGGAAAAGAAACCGCAACAAGATTGTATAAACATTATCCATTGAGTGCTTATGTCCATACTAGTGTATGGGAATATCGAGTAAAAGTTGTTGTACTCTAGTGGACTAAACATTGTTTGATATCTCAACGGTACTGATTGCGATAGAATTGGTTCTTCTTAGCCGTAATCAAACAAAATGGTGAAGAGCAGCATCCAGGACCGTTTTCCCCTTATTAGTATCGGGAGCTCATTATAGTAAACATGGAAATCAAAATAGAGAAAAAAACATATCCGATACCAGATGCATGTTGCCAGGCCTGCGAACGACGACACAATATACAGTGAATATGGCATAGCAGCACACGCTAAGTGAATTACTTAAGGGTTGCTCCATTGGCTTCTAGCTAACACTACTACTATATCCTAGCACTTCCACAAGAACATTCGCAACTGTACTTACAGACCACAATGTGACCAATCCCCAGCCAATAACCTTGTCCATCTTCCACTTGCGCAAAGGCACCGCAATGAGCAGGCCAGACAAAGTGAGGAGTAGCGTCGCACCAGAAATGACCAGTGTAGTGCTAACCGCAATGTGATAAGGCCTAAAATGCACCGACTGATCTGGGTGTTTTTCGTGACGATGTTCTCCCTTGGATATCACCATGTAGCATCCGCTCAAGCCCACGCCCAGCAGAATGTTAAGCATAGGGCCACCGAAGCAAGCCGAAAGAGCCATGATGGGAAAACCGAGACGCGCAACAGTAATATCGGCAACGAGATCGCCAAGCGAGTTTCCAACAGCGAAGATGGTGAGGCCCAGAATTGCATCTGACATGTTGAGGATGACGCCTAGTGTGCGCAATACACCAACAACTTCGTTGGCAATCGTGCTAATCCATGCGATGGCGACAGCGAAGCCGAGGAAACAAAGCGCTGAGCGCCAGTGGGGTGGTCGAGACGGAGATGTGGTCAGCAGAATCAGCGCCAGAACACACAGTGAGGCGATTAAAGAGTACAGGGTATGACGCAGCAGAGCGCGAGGGTTGTCGGGTTCCATGTTTGCCCAAAAGACCAGGACAATGAACAATGGCGCCGTGAATATCTGCACAATGACTAGCCAGCGATTCCATTGTGTCGGTTCGGGCAAGCCGAGTGCCGGGACTTGCTCAGGTGATTGCGCGAGGGCATCTGTGCCTGTAATGTATACTTGAGGTGTGTGACCGGCACTGGTCGAGGAAGAGTTGCTGTTGCCCTGGGGCATGGATAGATTGGAGGGTCTGTTATCCTTGGAGTACGTAATGTTATTCGATCTATCTTGTGGCAAAGTGATAGAAACATTGCGCGTATGTGAATCTGTACTGCCGATGTGTGTAGATGGAGATGTCGGTAAACCAAAGTCGAATGAGGGCTCAGGATGGTTTATCTCGGTCTCGTCCGACGGAGGTTCGACCACGGGCAGTGTGATTGTAAGTAGAAACACTGGTATACTTGCTACTAATCCCAAAATCTTGTCAAAAAAGCTTTTGCTCTTCCAGTTGGTCAAAGTTGGAAAGAGAGTCGCGAGGAGCACATAGGGTGCAGGTAGAAGATTGGATGGCCACCATCTAGGGGTTCTAGTCTGATCAAAAAGACCGAATGAGTTTCTAGGAAAATATCCTGACACTGAAGATGCACTGGGAGACGGCGGGCGAAGGCTTGCAGGTCTCGAGGATGATTGCGCCGACCAAGGGTAGTCGGTGTAAGCGGGGAAGGGAATTGGCGGAGAGCTAGCATCTGGCACGACCAGCCTCAGACTTGGAGGCGATTGGCGGTCGTTGGCTTCTATGACAGGCGAGGAGAAAGGACTGGGTGACGATGTGCCTTGGCGGGCCGATGCCCTGTTATCACCGCTAGGAGGTGCGAGCATGTTGGATGAAGTTGGCCTTGTCCTAGGCGTATTTGAACTTGGATCATATGAGGATGGTGAGTTTGGTGGAGACAGGGATATAGTTGGCGACGGGGGAGCGTTCAACAACGTGTCTCGGTCGTTAGGAGTTGCCGACGCAAGTGTTATATCAGGCACGATCTGTCCCTGAAGAGTGCTAGGTTGCAACAAGATATTGTCGATGTCGTTGGTCGACACCGCTCGGGTTCGATTACCCAGCCCATAGTTAACGTCAAGGTTTTGTCGGCTCACGTGTGCCAAGGCATCAGAGGCACTGGATTGGACATCAAAGGGAGGCTGAGTGGTAGCGTGAGTCCCTTGTGAAATGTACTTTTGCTGCTGAGCAGTGGTGTAGGTCGGATCGTCAGAGTATCGACGAAGGTTGATGGGCATGGACTGGATGTTTCGTGACTTCTGCAGCGAAGACAGCACAGCCCTAAATTCGAGAGCTCCCACCAGACTGGGACGAATAGGAGTGTGCGTGTTGCGACGCGAGTTGTTCGGTCGGTTGACGCGCATGTTGTTGGTTAGCTCGCCCATCCAACGTTCCCGCTCTTCTTCATTGTCGTCATCGTTGATCATGCGCTCGTCATTGCCGGCATTTTCGAGCATGGAAAAGTCTTCGATGGATACGCCGTGGCTTGGAGTTCTACTGTGAGACGGTGTTTCCTCATCATGGTACTCCTGAATTTCTTCCTCTTCACCATTAGGCATGACATATTGATTCCTCATAGCGGCAGCTTTTGCCCGTCGCGCCTTCCTCAGGTTGAGCCACCAGTGCCAACTGACAACAAAGGCGACGTAGAACAGGTAAAAGGCAACCATACTGATCGCTTCCCAGAGATGCAACTTGCCATCGATTATGAAACCCATGCTGAAGGCAGCGGCAACAAGGAAGAAGCCAACATCACGAACAAAGCTCTTGCGGGCGACTTGAAAGGGGCGAATGAGGGCCATGGAGCCTGAGACAACGGCAGTGATGAAGCACGCAGCGCCAATAAGCTCGCCGACAGCCAGACTTGCTGCGTGGGTGCGGAAGGCAGCAAAGGTGGAGAAGACATCGGGACTGCCATTTCCAAAGGCAAGCAAGGTTACCCCGGCAAGACTTTCGCTCATGCCCAACATACGCGCAATGGTGTTGAGGTTGACGCAAAAGAAGTCGCTGGCTGCGATTCCAATGGTGCTGAAGAGAAGAGCAAGCCAGAGGGTCATGAGGGCGAAAGCGACTGGCTTTGCGTGAGGCAGGCGACAGTAGTAGAAAGTCAGGTACGAGATGACTCCGGCTTCTTCGTCAGGGCAGTTTGCGCGCACAAAAGCGCACTGGTCGTGGGCATGGTGGACGAGGCGGCACTCTTGATCCAGGATAGTCACGTCCCTCTTGTGCAGCAAGCCAGATGACGTCGCGCCTGGAGGAGCCTGTGTCTTTGCCCATGCAAGCAACGAGATGAGGGTAATGGCGAGGATAGTGAGGGCGAAGGGTCGTGCCGAGTAGCGTGGGCGCCGCCATCGCTGGACGGTTTGAAGTATGGCGTCGTGGTTCATGGTCAAGACATGTTCTTTAGACAGTCGCAAAGGTGGTTCGGCAGCGCGAATGAAGGTGGCGAGTCGCACTGAATAAGGCCGCGAACTCGAATGCTTTGGGGGGAGCAATTTAGGCGGGTGTCACAGGACGGCGGAAGACGGAGCGCGAGGCGTTTGAGCAGAAGCGGGCGCTGCTGTCGCCTGGGCTATGATAGGCGCAATAGTCGGGGTGCTCAGACGAGCGGACGGAGAGCGGAAGCGGTTGCGCGATAAGGATGCTGGAAGTGTAGAAGAGGTAGAAGAAAGCAGGTTAATAGGGAAAGAGGTGACGGCGCGGACCAACGACAAGCAGCAGGCCAACAGAGGCCCTGCACCGGGTGTCGTCACTTGAGTGGGTTGGCAGTTGTCGTGTCGTGGCGTTGAGGCGTTGAGGCGAGTGTGTGTGGCGTTGAGGCAGAGAGATCTGTGGCGGTGACGCGAATACGTGGCGGTGCACATCTGATCAATGGCCCACCCGTCGCGTGGTAAATGTTCTTGGCGCTTTGCCCTACGCTCGGACCCTGGCCAGGCTGTTGACAAACAAGACCACCAACACCACCACGGCTTGGACTCCCCGCCAGCGCCCCCACTACAAAGCCTATCACGCCCACCCATCCATAGCAGCCATGCCGCGCACGGCAAAGTACACGACGGCTGCCTCACCGCAGAAGACGCCCATCAAGTAGGCCGACCCGCACCACACACGTCGCGCCCTTGGGCCCGGCTAACTCGCATAGAGTACCCCTCAACGACGATCGCCGCGAGAAGGCCAACCGCCGCCATGCCCAGAATGAAGCCCAGCGTAACTCGCTGCGAGCATCGACTGCCACTCCTGCCAGGAAGCGCATGTCGCTTGCGGCGGGCCAGGACAGCCCCCACACCCCCTCCCAGGGCCAGGATGGCATGCCCGACATCACAGGCACAGCAGTCACGCCAGGCAAGCGTGTCATGCCGCTGCTGGCCAATTTCGAAGAGTGGATGAAGATGGCCACGGACAATGTACGCCCATGACGGCACACTCTACGCAGTTGCTAACATGTCCAAATAGAAAATCAATGCCAACAATTCATGGAACTTTGCACTCATCGATTACTTCCACGAAATGTCATTGCTCAAGGAAGGCGACGGTGTCAATTTCCAGAAAGCGAGTTGCACCCTAGACGGATGCGTCAAGATTTACACCAGCAGAGTCGACAGCGTCGCTACAGATACTGGTAAACTTTTGAGCGGACTTGCAGAGAATGCTGGCAGAAAACGCCGTGGCGATGCCGAAGACGGAGAAGAGGGCGATGATGATGATGGCGAAGGAGAGGACGGCGAAGATGGCCAGAAGAAGCGCAAGAAGAGGGCTGCACGTTCTGCCGAAGCCACCCTTGCATCCTCGTTTGCTCAGCTGCAGAACAAGAAGATGGAACTCGAGTTCTCTGTAGACCCACTCTTCAAGAAGGCATCTGCCGATTTTGACGAAGGAGGCGCGAAGGGTCTGCTGCTCAACCATCTAGCCATTGACGGAAAAGGCAGAATTGTTTTCGATAGCAGCGATGATGCGGGCGACGCCACCGCTGAAGATACACGCCCAAGTGCAGGTCTTGAGCATGCCCGTCAGCAGTCGCAGGAGCCACAGGATGCGCAGTCGTTTGACGATATCGACATCAACATATCAGGACTGGCTGCCAAATACTTCCCCGACCTATCGCGGCTTGATGGACAAGATGTTTGCCCTTCAATGAAGACTTTCGATCTTGGAGATGTAAACGGTTCCATGGACCTTCCCTTCCTCAAGGCCCCTGATGACTGGCGCGACGACGTCAAAGACAAAGACGAAGATGATGATGAACCCGGTAATCGATCCGGTCTTTTCCTCGATGATGAAAACCCAATGGGTTTCGATGATGATGACGTGAACATGGGTGGTTTTGATCTGCCTCCAGAAACTGGCTTTGGTGAAGGTGGTGAGGTCTGGGCTCGTGAAGCCATCCGGGATCCACAAGCTCGCGTCCATACCATGGGCATTGAAGACAATGAGGAAGCCGGAGAGGGGGGCGAGGGTGCTGTCGGTACCGACGCTCAGTATGGCGTCTCTATGGTGCATGGCCGCGACCAAGAACAAGAAAATATCCTAAGCTATTTCGACCAGGCTCTCAAGAAGAGTTGGGCAGGACCGGAACATTGGCGAATCTCGCGAGTCAAGCACATGGGCAAGGCAGCTCCGACAGTAAAGAGGAAGGAAAAGGAACCATTTGAGATTGACTTCACTGCACCCATGTCGCAGTCGTTGGCAGATATGCTTTACACACCTGCAACTTCGAATTCAACCATATCGCTACCAAAAGCACAATGGAAATCAAAGTCACGGAATCTGCTTCCGGACGATAAGCATTTCAACTCCAGACAATTACTGCGGCTGTTCCTCAAACCTAAAGCGCGTATGGGCCCGCGCAGGGAAGGACGACGAATGCAGCCACCAGCCAACGAACCTGCACACGGTCATGTCGATGAAGCGTACTGGGCCAACCAAGGCAACGATGTTGAGGATGGTGCACCACAAGGCAACTACGATGCAGACTTCTTCCAGGATGATGGCTTGCCAATGCCAGGTGGACCTATTGACGACGATGAAGACTTTGCAGATGCCCGAGACCATTTCTCACCAGCCCCCGAAGCCCCGAATGCTGCACAGCCCTTGGATGGCTCATTACCAAGCTCACAAGCCGACGCATTTGGTGCGCAACTAGTGACACAGAGTCGCAGATTCCGACCAGAATACGTCCAGTACGCCCGCGTAGCGAAGAAGGTGGATGTGAAGAGGCTTAAGGATGAGCTGTGGAAGGGCATCGGGCTCGAAGGTGTAAGTACTATCTTGAATATTGATTTACTTGTACATTCGGCCAGCAAGCTAACGCAACAAACAGATCTCCGCGCCACCCAAGCCAGACGCTGTCGACGACCCGGCCGTCAAGGCAGTCGATGGTTCCCTAACCTTCACCAAGGTAGTCAATAGCCTACAGGCCGTGTACCCCAAGCAAACAATGGCAGATATCTCTACAAGCTACTGCTTCATCTGCTTGCTGCATCTAGCTAATGAGCAGGGGCTAGTCATTGAGAATCAGGAGAACTTTGAAAATCTCACCATCCGAAAGGACTTTACGGCAGAAGTCTGATATGCTGTGTCAATACAAAGTAAAGAGGGGCATGTTCACATTTACCAACGAGTCAATGATGCAATGCAATGAATGATGGATTTTGTTTTCCAAACATTTACAAGATCGATTGCCAGTTTTTAGTACCTGCTCCATTCACAGAGGCTTATTGTGACTGTATGTTTGAAACAGAAAGCCAGTATATTGAAGTTTTGGGCATATCCCAAGACCACAGCAACTGATCAAGGAGCAGTGACTAGCAGATACCAAGATAAAAACTCACAATACAGAGAGAGAGACACACACACACAAAGTACACTAATACAGGACTGATCAAACAACAGGTTGCTATAGAATGTATTAGAATACCAACATCAAAAACAAACCAAAGAAACATTAATCGCAACAGGATGGTATCTTCGCACATGGGTTTGCGCACCTCCGCAATCCACATGAAGAGTAGACAAGAAGCAAACGCCAAACCCATTCCTGGCAACTCGTTCAATCAATCAACCAATCGAAACCAAACATATCAAACACATGAACACATCAAACGCATCAAACTCATCAATCATCCAACATGTCTTCCCTTCCTTCTCTTACTTCTTCTTCCTGGTCGCATCTTTGCGAACAGCGGTACCAGCGGCCCATCGGAAAAACGGCGAGGGGGTAGGCTTCTTGCGTGAAGAGTGGCCCGAGCCGCCACTGCCGCTAGGTACGACAATGACAGCTGGTGGTGAATGATCGCCGGGGTGGCCAGGAGGAGGTGGCGGTGGTGGAGGCATAGCACCTGGAGGGGGAACTGTAATGACGTGGGCGTGAGATTCAGACTCACGTTTCCTGCTCTTGTCCTTCTTACCTTTGCCTCTTAGAGGGAGATTTTGCGACATGAACATTTGTGCATCCGGTGGTGGTGGAGGTGGCGGAGGGAAAACCTCTACTACTGGTTCAGGTGGTGGTGGTGGCGGCGGCTCTGGCATGGGCCACATGTGCATGGTGATGGCCCAGTCAGGCTGAATCACGGTTTCCCAAATCTGAGGTAGAATGATCTCACCATCCGGTCCCACAAGGTCGTAGTGGCCTTGGTGCACATGAGGCCCAATAACATCTACGTGTAGGAAAGCCTGCTTGATAAGTTCTTCCATGCCCTGATTTCATGTAAGTAGCCACTCAACATCACGCAACGATTGTCTACCTACCTTCCATGTCTTGCACAATTCCCATGGAAAGCTAAACTTACGCCCAACAGCGTCCTTGAACTTGATTGGGAGTTTTGGTGCATCAGATGGCTTGAGAGCAGCAGCCTCGTCCTCGGCAGCTTTCTTAGCCTTCTCCAATTCCTCAGCAGCAGCCTTGGCATCGGCCAGGGCTTTCTCATGAGCTTTTTTGGTCTCTTCAGCTTCGGCGGCCTTTGCCTTTTCCAGTTCCTCTTGAGCGGCTTTGGCTTCAGCAAGGGCTTTCTCGTGGGCTTTCTTAGTCTCCTCAGCTTCGGCAGCCGCTTTCTTCTCGGCCTCCTCTCGCGCCTTTTCGGCCGCTTCGACCATGATTTTGGCCTTTTCGGCCGCTTGCCTCTTCTCTTCTGCGATTCTGGCCGCTTCTGCATCTGCCGCAGCCTTTTCTGCTGCACGGGCGGCATCTGCAGCAGCCTCTCGTTTCAGTTGTTCATCCTTTTGAGCAAGAATGAGTTGCTCCAATTTGGCAAGCTTGTCCTCGTCACCCCTCTTCTTCGCTTCTTCAGCCTCTCTTGCAGCTTTCTCGGCAGCTTCCTTCTTAGCTTTCTCTTTTTCTATCTTGGCCTCTTGTTGAGCAATGAGCAAATTCTCAAGACGGGTAAACTTGGCAAGTTCCGCATCTCTCCTGGCTTGCTCAGCTGCCTTTTCTTCCTCATCAGCTTTGTGCAGTAAGAGCTTCTCGAGTTTTATAAGCATGCCCTCTTCTTTGGGATCTGGTTGAGCGGGTGGCGGTGGAGGCGGAGCGGGCGGAGGAGTAGTTATGATTTGCTGCTGCATTTGAGCCAACTGTTGCATTTGCTCCAGATGCTGTATATGTTGTATCTGCTGCAAGGGCGTCATTTGTTGCATTTGTTGAATGTGTTGCATTTGCTGCACTGGCGACAAGTGTTGCAAGGCTTGTTGCAAGGCCTGTTGCATTGGTTGCTGCAATGGCTGCTGCATTAGCTGCTGCATCGGCTGCTGCATCGACTGCTGCATCGGCTGGTGCAACTGCAAATGCAGCTGTCCTGGAGTCTGAGGTGCGGTTGCAACAGGTTGAGGTGGAGGTTGAGGTGCAGGTGTAGGTGGTGTTGGGGCAGCATAACGCTCTTCCTCGTGCTGAGGCTTTGGTGTAGCTCGTTTTGAAGAGGCTTTCTGTGGAGGTGGACGCGAATGTGGACGTGAATGCGGAGGTGGAGGTGGAGTTGGGTGTGTTGAGTGTGGTGGGGGTGGTGGTGGTGGTGCGTGTTCAGGATGTCCATAGGGACTCATGTGCTGGGGCATGCCATGCGGTGGCTGAGCACCATAGGATGGATAATAGCCTGTCGGTGAGTAAGGCATCATTTCCCCGGGAGGTGCTGCCGGCATCGAGGAACGGTGGGCTTTGTGTGCTTGGTGAGGATCTTGGTAGCGAGGATCCTGATATTCGGGAAAGTAGCCACCGCGTGGATCTGCTGCCGGTTGGGGCGGCTGTGTGAAGGGGTTTTGTCCATTGGGTGCAAAGGGGTTCTGTGCATAGGCAGCATGGGAGTCATGGCCAAATGGAACTAATTGACCTGGGGGCGAATGCGTGCCTCCTGCGTATCCGTACTGATATCGAGGGTCTGAAACCATGCTAGGTGCAAAGGCATTGGGCCCATGCTGGGGTATATGACCCCAGCCGGCGCTTGGGTGCCCATGAGGCGGAGCTCCATGAGCTGGGGCGCCATATGGGTAATCGTCGTCGTCCTCGACTTCGGGAGGCTCCTGATGATGATGGACGGATTGATGCCTTGACCGTCGCGGCCTGCGTTGGCGATCCAGTTTGCTTCGGCTTCGGCTTTGGCTTCGGCTGTGGCTCTCGTGGCGGGAGGGGGGATCAGGAACAGGAGCAGCGTGGCGCGAAGATGTTCGCTCTCGACGAGACGGCTTTTGTCGAGGTGGCGCTACAGAAGGAGGGTGGACGGCGTGGTGTACAATAGGGTGGTGAGCAACGGCACGATGTGGTGCAGAGTGATGCTTGACGTTACGCGGGCGGGATGCAGAGTCTGAGGGGTTAATCTCGTCGATGTAGTCCCACGAGCCTTCGTTCTCTTCCTCTATGCCGTGTTCGTCTTCGTCTTCGTCGTCGTCGTCTTCCTCTTCCTCTTCCTCTTCTTCGTCGTCCACGTCCTCGCTTTCCTCACCAGTGCTGTACTCCTCTTCACTGGCGGAGACGACCTGGATCCCGGCCGAGTCCTCGTCAGTGAAATCGTCGTCGTCGTCGTTGTCGTATGCGCCCGTGTGGTTGTTGACAATGATTCCCTTCCGTAGTCTGATCGCAACGTTAGTGTCGCCCTTGACATGATAGCGGCGCTTAGGGGGAGTAATCGAGACACTCGACGGGGCAGTGCTGCCCGTCGTACGCGACGATGGCGACGTAGCGCGCGACTTGACCGAGCGTCGAGAGGGGGCACGAGGCATAGCGCGAGTATGGGGGAGATGGGCTATGACTAACGGCATGAGGTTGGCGGTGCTGGAGGAGAAGCCGTACTCGAGCCTGCTCCTGCTAGAGAATGGCCGAGTCCGGAGTCCTGAGTGCGCGGGGAAGGGAGCGAGCGACGGGTCAAGATGGGGCGGGTGAGCAGCAGTCGAGATCCGGAGGGCAAGACGGACGGGGGTGGGCGACGGGAGGGTGGAAAGTGGTGGTGGGGGTGATTTTGCTGACCGCTTTCAGTGTGGGCGGGGCAGTGCGGCGCTGGGAGAAGAAACAGCGATGCACTTTGTATACAGCAGCGTGCGAGCAGGCAAACGGCAGACGACAGACGCTGCAGACGTCCAGCGGCGTCAGTGCAGTGTTTCTGTGCGAAATCGTTGTTGTTGTCGGTGTTGCTGATGCCCTCGGTGCTCACGCGCGAGAAGGGGAGAGGGGGGAGGGGGGGAGCGGCAGAATAAGGTCTCCAGTGGGAACCAGGGTATTCCGCTTGATGAATGCCTGACGGCGCCGTTGTGGTGGGCGAAGTGGGCGCTGATTCGCCGGCAGAAAGTCAAAGCAGAAGGGTTCGAAACACTCGGGCTGTATGATGGAGGCTTGGATGGGCAGACAAGCGGGCTGGGTTGGAGCAGTAGTGTGGTAATGGTGGTGGTGGTGGTGGTCGCACACAGGCTGGAGCAAAAGCGGATCGTGTGACGATGTCAAGGTCTGCGCCAGAGTCTCCAAATCAGATGACAATGAGAAATATCCAGCCGTGCTGTTTCGGACATAATAGTCTGGCCTCTTCACCTAATAGCAGACGGGGGGACGGAAGAAGGCCGTGCAGTGACAACAGCAGCAGTACCGTTGCTGAGACGCTCGAGCGAGTCTACTGCACATGCACCGCCCACTTGTCCTGCTATTTAATTGTTTTGGCCTCACCGGCGCGGCGTCGTAGTAGCACGGCTGGGGGAGTCGTGGAGTGGTAGGCTTTAGTCGCATACGTGGTACATGCTCATTGTCCACGTCCCTTACCGCCCACAGCCCAACCCGTATGCACGCCTACCACACCCATGGCGAAGAGGCTCGACGGGAGCCGCCGTGGAGCCCAACCCCGACAAAGACGGTCCTGACGTGCGTTTGTCACCGACAGCCGTGACACGTGTAGCTCTGCCTTGGGGTCGACCATCCGCCAGGGTGCAGCGTCTTTGGGCACGGGTGCAGCCTCTGTTGCGCTGTTCGGCCATACTACACACTGCAAGTATGCACCAACAGGTGGGGCATCGCTTTGCTTATTGCAAACTACAACAGGTTTGCAACCGTGCCGAGCCAACATGTCCGTCCGTGTGCTCTGTTTCCCCATCGTGGCCGAGCCAACAAGAGCCCCATGATAGTCTAGAAGCTCCCTACACGTCTTCGTCGTCGTCAACACATGTAGAGAACTGACTTGTATACTTACACATCAGCCTCTGGGTGCCGCTCTCGCCTATCTTAGCCGCATGCTCAAGCGAACCCAGACCGCAGGCACAAAGCCATTGCCCCGGATGACGCCATGTTGCCTGCTGCTGCTCTTCAACTGCCCCATGGCTAAACCAATAACCCGAACCTCAATCACACACAGTACCTAGGCCAGCAGGCTGCAAGGACCCTGGGCCCATGCACACTCACATACACATACATGCACCCCTCAGCCATGTCGCGAGACAAGGAAATCTTATTGTTGGAAATACTTGGCACTGTACAAGATATAGAACACACACGCTGCCGCTACCCGCTCTTCCAACCCGCGCAAAATCCAAAGCCGCTTGACATCTATTGGTTCGTCTTGCCGGAAGTGTTGGGCTTGGGAATCTGGTCCAGGATGCTCTTGTTTTGTGGTGGCTGGTACAGGATCTTTCGGTTCTTGAGCGGTCCCCACTTGTACCTGTTGTACTTGTTAACATTGCTTCACCATGTGCCCATGTCTCACTGCAAACGCACCTCTTGACCCAGACGCTGAGAGCGAACAAGACGCTCGTGACAGCCAACACCTTCCAGCCCATCTTCTTGCGGTCATCCATCTCGGGTTCAGCCGCCCAGTTCAGGAACTCAACAACGTCCTTGGCCATCTGCGAGGTCGAGGCCTTTGTGCCATCCTCGTATTCAACCAAGTCGTCGTACAGCACACGAGCCATGGCAATGCCGGTACCAGGGAAGTAGGGGTTGAAGTTGAGGCCATCCTGCACAACAGCACCCGCAGGTGGCTCCTCGGGGTAGCCAGTCAACAAGCTGAAGATGTAGTTGCAACCGCCGTGGCGGGCCTTGACCATGAGCGATAGATCCGGGGGCAGCGCACCGTTGTTGGCAGCACGGGCAGCCTCATCGTTCTTGTAGGGCGCGGGCATGTAGTCAGAGAGCTTTCCGGGGCGCTTCTCAATCTCGCCCTGGTCGTTGGGCTCAGTGTCGTATTCGTTCTCCTCGGCAAGGGCCTTGGCCTCATCGACAGTCATGAACTTGCCGACGAGAGCTCGGTAAGGGACACGAGAGATGGAGTGGCAGGACGCGCAGACCTCACGGTAGACCTGGAATCCACGACGGAGGCTGTTGGCATGTTAGGACGAGTATGCGAGTATCATTCGGGGAAGACGTACGCAGCGTGATCGAACGTCTTGTACCACTTTTCGTGCTCCCATGGGTACTGGGTAGGGTGCAGACTATCAATTCCACAGTCAGCTTCTTTTTCTCCCTATTTTCTTTTGCATCTTCTCTTTGCTATTGTTGCTGTTGCTGCTGCCGCCGTAGGCATGGACGTCATTCCATCCATGTCTCGGCTACAAAGCAATTAGCGAGTTGGCACACTCACCCTTCTTCGGCGGGAGTCATGGCATCGACATCGCGTCCGTAGAGATGCCAGTACCAGGCAGTGGAGCCGACGGCGAAGATGGTGGCACCGGCGGGGAGGGCGTTGTTCTTCCATGCGGAGGCAGCTCCCTCGGCATAGGCCGATGTCGAGGCAAAGCGCTGTGATCACCCAATCCGTCAGCCAGACATTCAATTGCAACAGAAGAAGGCTCAGGGCCGAGTATGATGCCAGAGATGGCGTTGATGAAGCTCGCGGGAGCCGTTTGCGGGAACTGGGCCGTGTGGGAGGCGTACCGAAGCTGGTCTGCTGGTGGCATTGCGGGTCGCGGCGCCGGCGGTGCGTGCCGTACGCAGTGCTGAGCGAGCCAACATGGTTGTGTGAAGCCGGCTCGGAGCGAGAGGGGAAGTGGATCAATGGGGGTTGTCGGCGTTGGTGATAGTAGTGAAGGAGGGCTGCTTGGTCGCAACTTCTTCGCTCGAGGCTTGGCGAGACCTAATCAAGTCGACGGGCGCTGTGATTGGCCCGCGCCCGCGGCTTTCGGCGATGTATGATCTGTATATTGCGAGTGCGAGCACCACTTGGGCGTCCTCATAACAGTCAATGGCCAGGCCGACATGTCTTTCAATTGCGTCTCTGAGGCCAGTTGAGAGCACGTCTTTGTCCGTGGTGCCGATAGCCTCCTGGTTGGAATGCAGCATGTATACGTCACATGACTTTATATGGAACACCCAGCACACGCAAGTTTGGCCGGCACAAGTACGTGAGAGAGAAAGAGAGTGCATGACATCAATCCATCAGTCAAACATGCAACTTGGGTGCAACAAGGTCTGCTACGCAAGAAAGAAGCAAAGCAACTGCACCTACTGCATCATCAATGCAGCAGTTGCGTCTGGCAATGGGGGCATGCCTTGGATTCAATCATCTGATCTCCCCCAAGACAGTGTTCATGTAGCGCTACTTCTATACCCTTCCACTCATGGCGTGGTTGTAGAAGGGCTCAAACGAGGGCTAGTGGTTTCTCTAGCAAGGACTGGCAATGTTGCCAGAACACACAGCGTCTCTGCAGAGAGGGAGATGGCTGGGAGGACTTCCTTGCGGTGTTTTGAGAAGAGGAAAAAAAAAGAAAGCGAGGGCGGGATAGTATTTGTACTAGGCCACACACGCACACGCACAAACACTGGGACAGTCTAGCGGCGTGTGCAGTCGCAAGCCCTCTCTGCCCTGCCAAACCTCGCCCGGCCAATTGCAACGAGCGCCCTCTCACCGCAGCACGCCCTCATCGACTGTAGCGGTTGGGTCAGATGCGGCGCTTCAAGCAGAATGGCGCTTCTGCCCTGCAATGCGGGCGTGTGGTGCTATCGCGCCAGGCCATCACCGCCTCGCGCAGCCGGCTGAGCCCTCACCGGAGTCCACAGCTGCACACGCTCTCGAGCGCGAGCCCCACGACAAGCTCTCGATACTACCCCGCTACCCGCGCCCAGCTACAGCTACCACGGCTACAACAAGCCCCCTCTCGCCCATCACCCCCTCCCCCTTCTCGCCTTTCTCTCGCTCCCCCCGTCCGTTATTGCTCGCACCGAAGAAACATGTGCAGACACTTTGGAGTCGACGACCACTCCGCCATGGACGTCTCCAAGGGTCGCGAGGTGCTGCCCACCAATGTCAAGCCTGTGCACTACGACTTGACCTTGGAGCCGGACTTTGAAAAGTTCACCTACACTGGTACCGTGACAATTGAGTATGCTCTGCTTCTCATTGCAACGCATGCGCCCACCTTGCTGACACGCCACACAGTCTGGATGTCGTCGACGACACCACATCCGTCACCCTCAACACCAACGAACTCAAGATCCACTCCACCAAGATCACAGCCGCCCAGCAGGTCATATCAGAAGCTCCCACCGTCAGCACCGATGAAGAGGCACAAACAACCAAGGTCAGCTTCGACCAGACCATCCCCCGCGGTAGCAAGGCGCAGCTCACCATGACCTTCTCGGGCATCCTCAATGACAACATGGCTGGCTTCTACCGTTCCTCGTTCAAGGCCGAGGATGGCTCCACCACATACATGGCCACGACCCAAATGGAGCCCACCGATGCCAGGCGTGCATTCCCCTGCTTCGACGAGCCGGCCCTCAAGGCTAAATTCACAGTGACACTTGTCGCCGACGAGAAAATGACATGCTTGAGCAACATGGACGTGGCTTCGGAGAAACAGGTTGACAGTGCCATTTCAGGCGGAAAGCGCAAGGCTGTTACCTTCAACCCCACACCACTCATGTCGACATATCTTTTGTGCTTCATTATCGGAGAGCTCAACTACATCGAGACCAACAATTTCCGTGTCCCAGTGCGAGTATATGCGCCAAAGGACAGAGACATTGAGCACGGCCGCTTCTCCCTGGAGCTTGCAGCAAAGACGCTCGATTTTTACGAAAAGACCTTCGACAGCGCTTTTCCCCTACCCAAGATGGACATGGTAGCTATTCCAGACTTCAGTGCTGGTGCCATGGAGAACTGGGGTCTTATCACCTACCGTGTGGTTGATGTGCTCATTGACGAAAAGGTCAGTGGCGCCGCCACCAAGCAGCGCGTAGCCGAGACTGTGCAACACGAACTCGCACATCAGTGGTTCGGCAATCTTGTCACCATGGACTTCTGGGATGGCTTGTGGCTCAACGAGGGTTTTGCGACATGGATGTCGTGGTACTCCTGCAACGTCTTCTACCCTGATTGGAAGGTGTGGGAAGGTTACGTTACTGACAATCTCGCAAGCGCACTCTCCCTTGACTCCCTGCGCAGCAGCCACCCCATTGAGATTCCAGTCAAGCGTGCAGACGAAATCAATCAGATTTTCGATGCCATTTCGTATTCCAAGGGCTCTAGCGTCATTCGCATGATTTCCAAGTGGGTTGGCGAGGAGACCTTCATGGAGGGCATTCGCCAGTACCTCAAGAAGCATGCTTACGGCAACACAGAGACGGGCGATCTCTGGGCTGCTTTGGCTAAGGCTAGCGGCAAGGATGTTGGTAAGGTCATGGACATCTGGACCAAGAAGGTCGGTTACCCTGTGGTCGCCGTCACCGAGGGCACCGACTCGATCCATCTCAAACAGAACCGTTTCCTCCGCACTGCCGATGTCAAACCCGAAGAAGACCAGACTCTGTACCCCGTCTTCCTCGGACTTCGGACCAAGGATGGTGTTGATGAAGACTTGACCCTCTTCGATCGCGAGGCCGACTTCAAGCTCAAGGATATGGATTTCTTCAAACTGAATGCGGACCACTCTGGATTGTACCGAACTTCGTATACGCCAGAACGACTACGCAAGCTTGGCATCGCTGCGAAAGAGGGTCTCCTCACTGTTGAAGACAGGGCCGGTATGATTGCTGATGCTGGTTCGCTGGCTGCATCCGGGTACCAAAAGACGTCTGGAATCCTCTCACTGCTTGACAGCTTCAAGGACGAGGCTGAATTCGTTGTTTGGGGAGAAATTTTGTCGCGCATTGGAGTGCTTCGAGGCGCCTGGATGTTCGAAGACGAAAAGACCAGGGATGCTTTGAAGAAGTTCCAACTCGATCTAAGCGCCGAAAAGGCACACGAGTTGGGATGGGAATTCAATGAAAATGACGGACATATTCAGCAGCAGTTCAAGGGCCTCATGTTCGGCGCTGCCGGCATGGCTGGTGACGAGAAGATCACCAAAGCCTGTTTCGACATGTTTGCCAAGTTTAAAGCGGGCGACAAGTCCGCCATTCATCCCAACATTCGTGGGAGTGTGTATGCCATTGTACTAAACAATGGTGGCGAAGAAGAGGTAAGTCATTGCTACATTGACTACTGCGTGTTTCCATGCTGATGGATAAAATAGTACAATGTCATTGTGAACGAGGCTAGAAATGCAGCGACAAGTGACGAGCGCAACTCTGCTCTTCGGTCGCTGGGACGGGCCAAGTCACCAGAGCTCATGAAGCGCACGCTTGATATGGCGCTCAGTGACGATGTCAAGGGCCAAGACATCTATCTTCCCATTGGAGCACTGAGAACGCATCCAGCAGGATGCCATGCGCTCTGGAATTGGGTCAAGGACAATTGGGCAGAACTAGAGCGCAGGCTTCCCCCAAGTCTGAGCATGCTCAGCTCCGTCGTGTCTATCACGACGTCTTGCTTCACGCACCGTGAGCACGTTGAGGACATTGAGGCCTTTTTCAAGAACAAGAGCACAAAGGGCTTTGACATGGCGCTTTCTCAGAGCCTGGACAGTATCAATGCAAAGGCTGCATGGGTTGTGCGGGATTCGGAGGATGTGAATTCTTGGCTCAAAGAACACAAGTACCTGCAGTAATTGACACATTGGCATGTCGAGCTAGATGCAGGCAGGGCCTTGGGACACCTGCCCAACTAGACAGCCGGATCTCAAACAAAATAGATAAAGTAACTGTACAACAGTAGAAAGAAGAAATGGCAGCTCAAATGGCAGCACTTTTGTTGCGAGCCTACTAGGTTTCTAGCATTTTTTGAGCAAGGTGATATCTGGTGATGGCTGCCAAAGGTTAAAATTGTTAGTCCAAGAATGAAGCGTTGTGTCATGGGCTGCGGGGTGGGATTGTGCAGGGGGGGGATGGCAATGTAAAAGTAGACAAGCGCTTGATGGGCTTGCACACGTCCCCCAAGGCGGGAGTCGGAAGACGCGTAGTGGACCTGCAACGTCAGCCTTGCCAGGCGTCCCGAACATGTGATAATCGTGTCTTCAGACATTGGTGGCCCATGATTGTTGACACTACCATTGCTGGTTTTTTGCGTCACTTGGCAGCGTTTCCAACCGCTCGCTCCTTCTGTCTATTGCTCTCCAGAACATCCGGCTACTATCGATTGCATTCAGCCACGGCTTGACTTAAGACTGTCTTACTTCCGCCGCTCACCTCCCAGGTAGTCATTGCCCATGCATTGACGACAATCGCCTCGCACTTTCGAGTCGCACACTCGACTATCGGTGGCATACGCAAGAGTTGGAGAAGAACCGGTGTGCCGCGCAATGTCGCAAGACACAGGACAAGTAGATCAGGCCGTCCCCGCACTTGCGCCTACAGACGTAGAGGACGTCCAACTATTCCGGCGGTCACCACACCCATATCTACGGCACGGGGACGAGATACGCGGCCAGAATCCTGAAAGAGCGAGCAGCTTGGGCCTGGAGCCCCCAAGTCATGCCGACGCGAGAGTGGGCAAGAATAGTGCAAAACGCAGGGAACCGGTGTCGCAATCACCCAGCGAAAGCGGCACCGAGGCAGACGACGAAGGCTATAACTTAGTCAAAGCACTGCCTGCGCCTCCTCTGCGCCTTCACAAGGGACTTCGGAATGCGCGGCCCAGGGAAGGCGGGCAATGGGCTAGTCCCTTGCTCACACCTACACAAATCGACGATGAAGGGAGCAAGTTCTCGGACGAGTTTGCCAATGGCGGCAATCGGGGGAAACGCAAAGGGATTGCGTACCACCTCGACGAAGAGGCTAGAGCAGCCAAGCAAAAGTATCTGCAAAGGCGGCGGAATGAAATGGTAAGGAGAGCAACGGAGACGGCCTTGCTCGCTGGCATTGGCATTCTTGCAGTCCATGGATGCGAGTGCTGGAGCGAGCTGCTGTCGTGGCACAGAGGTCAGCGTCATTTGCCAAAATATCAAATGGAATAATGGCTAATACCGGCTTCAGCAGAACTGCTCACGCATACTACTATCATCGTGACATTACTTGGTCTCTATCCGCTACGACTATTATATTATTCTTGGGGAAAACAGTCGGATCTTGCACTTCACCGGCGGATCCATGTGCCAGCAGCATTCGACCCAGCTACGATATTATACCCGCCAATTCTGCCTGTACTAATCGCCATTTCGCTTTTTGCTTCGTCGCCGAAGCCTTTGCTTCCAAATATTTTGCTCGGACTGGCAGCTTTGCCAGCCAGGATTATTCCTTTCAACCCTTCACCTTTGGGGTATTCATCGCTTCACTGGTTAATTTCCATTCTGCCGCTCATCGCGGCTGAAAACACCGATATACCGTCTAGACTGACTGCACAGAAACCTTACAAGCTGAAACTACCGCCTCCACACCAAGGGTTAGATCCAGAATTGCTTGTCTGTCTGTTTCCTCTGCATCAGGCACTACTGCCGCCTTTGTACTATCTCACTACAACGAGCCTCTTGCCAACGGAGCTGCACCTGATGTCGATTGGGCTCATCAACTTACTTTTGTTTTCTGACTCGCCTCAGGCGATGATACTTAGCATCTTGCTGTGGATGGGAGGGCTGGGAGTATTTGTATGCTGCGGCAAGGTGCTCAAGTGGGGGGTTGCGCTTGCACGCATCCCCCAGTGGAGGCTCCGGCGCGCAGGCCAGGTGATTCGGGCTCGTCAAAGCTTTTTGGAAATATTGAATAAGAGCTTGGGGTCAAGACGCAATGAACGTGGCTCTGCAGCGAAGCGTGGCGACAGCGATGCAGATGACGATGACGATGACGACGCCGCTATGTTTGGAAATAAGAGTGAAGGCCTCAAGATTGAGATACCTCAACGTAGTACTATGGGTAGTATCTTATCTACGGGCAGAGCCGAGCCACAGTCGGCAGCCGAAACGACCAAGAAGTTTTTTGACAAGATTAACGGAAAGAGCGAGGAATCTTTTGGGGTGGGCCGCACGCGTAGGAACACGCTACCTATTCTCACGGCTGAAAATCACGCATCGCCACATGGATTCTCGCGTCGAAAACGATCCAGGTCAATTGCACAGTCATACCTGGAGCTTACGCCTGCACAAGCAACACTACGGAAGTGGCTCTATGCAGCCTACTTCTACCTGGTGGTTGTGATTTTGATACTGGGCCCGATTCGGTATGCTGTCAGCAAATGGGCACTGTATGGCCACGAGCCATTTGGATGGGCGATTAGCTACCTGTTTGGCAATTTACCAAACGTGCGATGGAAAGTGTTTGAGTGGAATCTGGACTGGTGGATAGCGCTGCCGCCGAGAGAGATGGCAGATGATGTGGCTGCAGGGGCACAGGACATGGCACTCGGCGAACGGGTTGGGCTTGTGGTGCTAGGCGAAGCCAACACACGACTGTTGCTATGCATATACTGCATAGGCACCATTGTGGCGGGCCTTGTTGCGGTGTTTTCGCTGTCTGCTGTTGTTGAGGTGGACACGCGCCGCAAGGTGTTTCACGGAACCATGGTGGCCATGCTGCTGCCGACCATCTACGTGGACCCATGCTTTGTGGCGCTAGCTCTGGCCATTGTACTGGCCATTTTCATTCTGCTGGATCTGGTCCGCGCCTCGCAGCTTCCGCCGCTGTCGAAGCCGATTGCGAGATTTCTCACGCCATATGTAGACGGGCGGGATCTCCGGGGACCAGTGGTGGTTTCGCACATTTTCCTCCTCATTGGCTGCGCAATACCGCTCTGGCTGTCTCTGGCAGGAGTAGAGCGGAGTGGGGGAGAGCCGTGGCGAGAGTGGGGGGTCAAGAGTCGAGACATTAGCATGGTGTCGGGGGTGGTTTGTGTAGGCATGGGGGATGCAGCAGCATCGCTCATCGGACGGCGCTATGGACGGCGCAGATGGCCATGGGCAGGTGGCAAGTCACTCGAGGGCTCGCTGGCTTTTGCGGTTGCGGTGAGTGTTGGGCTTGTGTTTGGCAAGGCATGGCTGTACTTTGGATGGGAGAGTGGTCAGATGGTGCCAAAGACAGTGGGGAGGTGGATGACAGAGGCAGCAATGACGGTGGGAAAAGCCGGTATTTGCGCAGCAGGAGCGAGCCTGAACGAGGCGGTGCTCACAGGCGGCAACGACAACGTGATTGTGCCAGTGGTGCTGTGGGTTCTTGTGAGAGGGGTCAGGCTGTGAGGAGCCTGTGGTGAATGGCGTCAGGTGGCATGCAGGTACGGTGCTCAGGCAGAGGAGGCTCAACTAGAGACGGGGCTATATATGGAATGCAAGCGTCTGCCGGCCGAGCCAGGTGTAGGGGCGTGTGTGTGTGTGTGTGAGCATTAGGGTGGGGGGTGTCAGTATGTGAGGAGGAGGAGGAGGGCAGGGCTACTACGTCATAGTAGAGCAGCAGTTGAAGGCTGGCTTGTCTGGGCTGGCTTAGCGCTCCCATGGTCCGTCACAAACTGGCACACTAGCTGCAAGTCACAGCGGCGGCCATAGACGGTGCCGAGGCAGGGATGAGACGGGTAGACGAGCGATAAGCTATGGCGGTCGTGGTGGGAATGTTCCTTAGCATTAGTAGTGACTTGCCTGGGCTGGGCACGACAGATGGCAGACATGGCAGGCTGCTTGCTCATGCCCCAGGCGAATGGCGTGCGCTGTGGTCATGCCGCCGGCCACATGACGAGCCCCCTCTTGTCGCCTGCTGCCAGCCAGGCCAAGGCGGTGCTCACGGCCAAGGGCCGACTCATCAAGGACACCACGGGGCGGGCCACACGGGCAGACGCGCATCACAATCAGAAGAATGTCCAAGTACATTGCTGTGTGTCAGGCATGGGCGATAGTATGCTCGTCTTGGTCGCTGCAGCCATAGAGGCGCCTCGCCTCGCACGCGTCGTTATCAGTCCTATCAAGGCAGCGCTAGCGGCGCGCTAAGCCCTGCCCCATGACTGCGAGTCGAGCCTGGGGGACCCTCCACTCGACCGTCTACCTAAACCTCCCAAGCCACTCGACTGCTCACTGCCCTCTCGACTCCTCCCTCTTCCCTACTGTCCTTGTCGCTGCCGCTGTCGCTGTTGCTGTCGCTTTCACCACCCCCGCCGCTGTCCATTGCCCATAACCCTCGGACCTCGCGCCAACGTCTCGCCGCCACCCTGCGTCTCGCCTCGCGTCCCCGTCACCACTATCGATAGCACCGCATACAGCCAACAACACCTCCGCGTCCCGACAACACAACCACCGCCCCGCTGCCCCCCCAACAGCTCATGTGCAACTCGCTCACGCCTACCCTGTACCTGCATCTGCGCTGGTAGCCGCTTCCGCTTCCCACACCCAACAACAATAACAACAACCCATCTCACCACCACCACCTCGTCCTCCTCCTCCTCCTCCTCTACTACTATTACACCAACCACCATCCCCACCACCACCCGTAGTACAAACACAACCCACCATCGACGCCGAGCCAGGCAGCACATCCCGTGCCGCCATGGCTTCACCAAGCTCCCATGCCCCCCGTCGCTCGGGGGCATCCCCATCCTCATCTGCTGCCCCAGGCTCAGAACAGATCATTGGCAAGTTCAAGCGCCTGCACCACATTGGCAAGGGCAGCTTCGCCGAGGTCTACCGTGGCATTCACATTGTAC